GTCCAGTTCAGCGGCTTCCCAGCCCAAGTAATAATTCAATGTGCCCCACTGTACGTGTAAGCGGTTTGATTGTCATGGCAATTCGAAAGCATTTGTCGGTCGCTCGCCCCTCATCGCACACATTTGCAACGGAGGCAACTCGACGCAGACACAGAATTCCGACCCCAGCAAACTCCAGTCGTGGCAAATGCCATTCCTCCATCGTCCTTCCCTCCCTCGTCCTGTGTGAGCTGCCAGCACAGCAGCAACATCAGCATCAATGGAGGGCAGCAGCAACATCGGCACGACACGGCAGCAACAACAGCAACAACAGCAGCAACATCAGCCACTTGCCACATTTGGCTTTCTGCCAGGACCAGACTCCAGGACTCGTGCTGCCGGGGGCGGTAGTGCGGTGGGTGTGGCAGGGGCAGAGGCAGTGGTAGAGGCAACGGCAACTCGACGGCAACAACAAGGACAACGACTGTGGCAGCAGCAACAGCAACTAAAAATGCGACGTGCGAGATTATCGTGTCGCTTGTTGGTCGTCCCCGTCCGTGGTCCCAATCCCACACAGACACACTCACTCTACGGCTGTTGGCGTTTCTGTGGCTGCGCACAAGCCCTCCTCCTCCTGTCCCCCTGTACCCCCCGAATCCTTGCCAGCACACTCCTCCTCCTCATCATCCTCCTCCCGCCTCCTCGAAAGCGACACCATCACCACCAGGCGGCACAACTTACTGGCGCTGACGGCGGCAACTGCTGACTGCTACTTATGGCGCTGATGATGGCACAATGACAACAACAACGATTTCTGAGAAACGACTACACGACTTTGGGTTACCTCTGTTACTATGATGCATTACAACAAATTACTCAAATAACTATCCATATAAATATTGACTGCCCACAAAGTACATCCCATATCAGATTAGTCTTGTTTCTTAATGTCTGTGTGAAATTTTGCCAAACTTTAAGATAACTCTAGAAATTAAGTGAAAACTATATGGCACCAAACTATAGAGAAATACTTCCTCGAGTTCTCTAACAGGAATTTTAAAAACACCTTTCAAAACAGATATATATATATTAACAAAGTGGATATATATTCAAGACGCAATTAAGGCTTCTTAAAAGGAATGCTAAATCAACACTTTAAGCAAATAATAAAAAATAAATTAGTCAATATAACAATATATTTTGGTAGTTCCGTTTTTTTAAAATAAACATCATTAAGATAAATGACATAACAAATAAAATGTAATTTACGGACTCTACTAGATATATTTTATAAAATAAAACGATAAAAACGTAGTTCTTAGATTTATGTTGTCAGGCACATATTCTAAAATGTTCAACCTCCTTTGAGACCCATATACCCACTGATACCTATTAGTCGAGCTCAGCCAGAAAGTATGCAGCGTGCGCACGCGAGGATAACGACTCGACTCGACTCAACTCGACTCGACTCGACTCGAGGGCGAGGACAACAAGCAGCCCGACAGAGTGTGCGTGGGCGGGACATAACAGGAGGAGGAGGAGGAGGAGGAGGAGGAGGAAGGTCTGCCATGATGTGGATGTGGGGGTGGGGATATATGCCAGTGGGTATTAGTATGGGTGTGGGTGTGGGTGTGGGTGAGCTGTGTGCGACTAATTGGGTGAGAGAATGTGGGTGCTTAAATTGGTTTCGTGCTTTCGTGTGACGCGTGCGGAGGCGTGTAAAGCTTGGCGTGTTGCTGTGTAAGTGTGCCTGGGTGTGTGCGTGTCAACGAGTGTGTGAGTGTAAGTGTGCAGGCGACAGGCTGCTCTGCGGGTCCTCTTCCCCCTCCACCACCTCCTCCACCCCCCTTTTCCCCCACATCCTCGTCCTTGTTGTTGCTGTTGGCATGAATGCTTGATGGCGTGACGGCAGCCGGTTGTTGCCAGCAATCGAAACGAACTCAGAAAAAGCATGGGGGAATGTGGCTCCCGAGGACGAAGTGGGGAATACCCTACATGAACAGGAAAAGTTAATATGTTTTAATTATATACCTCAATTAGATACTATCAATACAATTTATATTATATTTATATTTAATACCATTTTAAAAAGATTTTTATTGATTATTTTAAATTAACTACATTAAGTTATCATATAAAAATAATGTTTTAATTTTAGCGTATATTTATATTTATACACCCAATGTAAGAATGATTATTAAAAATAACTATAAAGGTACATAAAATAGTCGAAACTACATATCTTCCGATATTTGTACTATATAATTGTACTTTATAATTTAATAAGTTAAAATGCAGTCATAACGATTTAATTCTATAAATAGTTATTAACTGTAATGTAGCCCTCGGCCCACAATTAAAGGACCCTCAGCAAGGGTACTCAAACACAATTTACCCCGCCTGGATGTGGATTTTTATTTTGCGTGCTTTTTTCGAGCGCAGCAGTGCCCGGCTCACAATTTCAGTTCGGTGCTTGGGATTTGTTAGCCCGCCCGTGGAGGGACTTTTCACCCGGTCATCACCATCCACATCCCCATCTCCATTCCCAGTTTGTTTGTGTCATTTGGTTTGTGGTGCCCGCATGCAGGACTCAGTTCCCTTGCTGCCTCGAAACTCTTCGGGAGGCGGCATTGCTGCGCCTGGCTTCGTCCAGCGCCTGGTTGTCCTGGATGAGGATGATCGTGTGCTGGTTCTCGGTGGCCACCATCAGCTCCTGTCGACGGGTGCGCAGCCGTACGTAGCTGAGCCGATCGTCGGGCTCGATGTCATGGATCATGGAGCGGGCCAGGAGCACCAGCGGTCTCATCCGGTTGGCGTACATCTGGGCGGCATCCTCAGCGATATTGGTCCGCACGAGCGTGCCATTGCCGTCGACCAGGATGGCGCCAATCACGCCCGGCAGTTGCACCAGCCGATCGAAAGTGGCCGCCACATTGTGGGACGTCATGGCTTCCCAAGTCCCAATGAAAACCCTCTTTCGGGTTAGCTTTCAAATGGCGGAATTTAGTATTTATTTAAGATCCATGCGTGACATAAGACTGACAGTGTTAGAGCTCAAAACTCAAACTTCAGTTTTTTATATCACCAATGTTACAAACTTTTAAGTATAAGCTGTATCAAATCGGTTTCAAAAAATACCCACGGGTGACGATCAAAACATGTTTTATTTGCTTAAATTGTTCTGGGGCTGACTAAATAAAATTAGTAAACCTAAAGTCCTTTATTGTTTTAATTATCTATTATAATTATCTTATTAAAAGTTCATAGACAACAACAATTACATTTTGAGGGAATGAAAATGTTTTGAAGTTTTTGTTAAAAACATCTTCTTACTGCCACTTTTAAAAGATTTTACTGATTTTACGAGACCAAACCAAATAGTTTTCTTGGAAATACTTAATGTCTCCTTATTTCTATTTATGATTTAGTCATTGAACACAGATATTGAAGTCTGTCAAGTTGAATGGTTTAGAATTTACTTGATTTTATTCAATGTTTCGATTTCCGAAAGCATCCAACCAAAAAGATAGTGCTTTAAGTCATGCTAACGCTTCAAATCACGTAAGATACCGCAGGGAAATGATTTAAGTCAATCCTCTAATTGAGTCTTTTATTATATATAGGGGACCAGTAAACACCCCATGACCAAGGGCATTTCGCAACTTCATTTCATTGGGGCTTGCACTTATTTTCGCCCAGGGAGACCAGACTTCCCCCGCGGCGCGTCTGTTGGCAAAGGCAGCCAGCTAGTGGGAGAACTTGCCGGCTCCGTGTCAAAGGTTGGACGTTATCCGTGCTCCAGCACGCGTCGCCGGAGGGGGGGAAACAGCAAGAGGAACGAGTCCAGACGAGGCGCCACCACCCACGGTGGTGGATTGCAGGCGGCAATCATTCCTGGCAGCATGCGGTCAGGCCACGTAAATGGCGTTGAATTACAGCCCGACAATCGAAGCGTTGAAGTCTCGAACTGAAAAGTTCCAGCAGCCAGTGGCTGCTGTGCCTGTGCATCATTTATAAGCCGGGCTAGGCCACAGATTGTGTCTGGAATCGAGTCGAGTTGAGTTGAGTGGGCACGCACGCAACGAAGCCGATGATGAGCTCAGGAGGTCCAAACAGGCAACTTTATGACTGCGGGCCATGTGTCCTGTGTTGGGTTGGGGTGTCACGTGCCGGTCTGCGTCTGACTCCGGGTACGACGGATGCACGGAGGGCCTCCTGGGCCAACGCCTCCATCCTATCCTTTTCGCCCTTCTGTTCCACGTATTGTATAATTCATTTGGCGTCGCGGACCCTTTCGTCGTGCGGGAACTATGTATTTATTCAATAAATCGACGTAGAAGCCTGACACGACAATCCAGGCAGCCACACGGCGGATGAGTGTTTTCCAAACACGCAGCTATGGATACTTTAATGCTCACACCAACTGTCAAATATGACTTGTGCTAAGCACCAAATATTTTTGAAAATTAATAACACCAATGCCTATGATTTCAATTAGGGGGAACAGTTTTGCAACAGGCTATGCGTACAAAATTTATCAGAAATTGCACATATATTGGATCTGTAACTTTATGATTGCGAATATGTTGTTCTTTTTTTCGATATTCAGTAAAATGGATATAAATTTGTTTGTTAAAAAAATATGCACATGCTTTTATTAAACTAAATTACCTGATAAACTGTATTTTATCAATTTTAAACAAATCCGAAGAGCAATAAAAATTATTGAATTTCAAGGCCCCCAAAAAATGTTATTAATTATGCAAGCCGAAAAAGCCGAGCTTAATTAGTCAACATAATTTATAAATATATTCAAGCAATTTTAAATTTAAATTTGGCGCTACAGTCAGGAATTTAAGCAAGTTGGCATTTCCAAGTCATTGAAGTCGACAACAGCGTTGCCAGCTGTTTTACTTAGCAGAGTTTTAAACCTTTCGTGCGTCCGCTTAGCGGAGTTACCCACCTATTCAGCGTTGTTTTTGCAATGTATCGATAGGTCGAACGATATCTGGCAACTCTGCATGATGCAACCATGCGTTTGTAAAACGAGAATCCCATTTCCGCTAGTTCTTCCTCTTTCTTTTTCGCATTGTCAGCCGACGAAGGTGGGTGTTTTTTGGAAACCTCGTTTAAGTTTGCACTGCTAATAGAATCATTACATTTGCAGTGCTTTTGACTTGAACTATCAACATGGTTGCTGTTAAGAAACAAAAGAAGGCGCTGGAGAGCACCAATGCGCGTCTGGCGCTGGTGATGAAGTCCGGCAAATACTGCCTGGGCTACAAACAGACCCTGAAGACCCTCCGCCAGGGCAAGGCCAAACTGGTGCTCATCGCCAGCAATACCCCCGCCCTGAGGTGAGATCGACATTGACATCGAGATCTTCCTCGTTGTGCTATTGAGAAGTAGATTTCCACTGCGCCCAAGTTGCCGTTTTTGTTGGAACCATATGGAGTCTGCCTTAAAGCTGACTGAGAAGTATGATTCCGAGCGGATTGGTTAATGGAAACTATGGAGTGTACCATCAATCTCAAGCTTCGGACTGGTTCGCTTATATATTATATCTGCGCCTCCACATGGTTCCATCAACGACGGGTCCACATCGCTTGGGGTAAGAAGTCTTCATATGATAGTTTAAAATTGCCCACATTATATGATGATCCTATGATTCCGAATGCCTTGACGAATCCTTTTTATTACTAGAGACTCTTTCTGACTGCAAAACCAGCAGGACAGTCCGTCCCATAAGTAAACCTTGTTGCTAATGTAGCCTATTTCTTGCCTTTGCAGGAAGTCTGAGATCGAGTACTACGCCATGTTGGCCAAGACTGAAGTCCAGCACTACAGCGGCACCAACATCGAGCTGGGCACCGCCTGCGGTAAATACTTCCGCGTGTGCACCCTGTCCATCACCGATCCTGGAGATTCGGACATCATCCGCTCGCTGGAGTCGGCCTAAACTTATTTTTAATCGAACAAGACGACCCAATAAAGTTTTGTATGAGGAGAGATAATGTTAAAAATAAAAAGTCATCAATTATTTTGGTAATTCACTGAGAACAATAATATTGGGAGCAATTTTTGCAACGTTTAAGAGGAACTTTAAAGGATAACTCATGCTATTAGATTGTTTCACGAAGTTTTACATTTTTGTTCATAAACATGGGTCTTTTAAAATTTTTTTAATTTTGTTCGATTATTAAAATTCTATTTATTTTTATTTATTGTCTTCTTTTGACTGTTTAAGTACAAATTGTTTTTTAAGCAGGTAATATTGTCTTAAGAACTTTTCATATCAATTTACAATTGAGCCCTATAATTTATATGTAGTCTTACACTCTAGATTGTGAGCTTTCAGCTTCAAATATGGTTTTCCTTGGCCTGCAACAAAAGCAAATAACGTTAAAATATTTAAACAAATATTTGTATTGTTTTGAATACTCACATTCTGGGCAACCTGCAGGAGATGATCGAAGCTGGCCTTTCCCGTCTGCATAACCATTCCATGGAACACTTTGCTCTCTGACTCTGTTAGGAGCTCATAGGGAGACCCGAATTCGACTATTTGACCTGCATCCAACACTAGCACCTTGTCCGAGTCCATGATGGTGTTCAAACGATGAGCAATGGTCAGCACTGTGCAGTCCCTGAACTTGTTCCGAATGGTGGCCTGAATCAGCGCGTCCGTCTGGGGATCCACATTGGCCGTGGCCTCGTCCATCACAAGGATTCTGTTCTCGCGAAGAATGGCCCTTGCCAAGCAGACCAACTGGCGCTGACCCACGCTGAAGTTGGTTCCACCCTCGGAAATGCTGCTCTGCAGACCCCTGGGCAGACCTGAAATTTCCTCCTTGAGGTGCACCTAAAAAAGAGATTGGTCGTAAAGCAAATGCTATTTTATTTTGGGAATCATCTAATCTCACCTCCTCCAAAGCCGTCCAAAGCTTTTCATCGGGGTATTGCTCGAAGGGATCCAAGTTGTAGCGCATGGTGCCGGAGAAGAGCACTGGTTCCTGTGGAATGATTGAAATCTTGCTGCGCAAATCATGCAGGCCCATCTCACTTGTGTCCCGTTTGTCGATGACTATTGCTCCTTCGTTGTAGGAGAGTCGGAATAGGGCATTAATCAGAGAGGACTTGCCCGCCCCAGTACGTCCCACGATGCCCACTTTCTCCCTGGACTTGATCGTAAAGTTCAGCCCCTTGAGCACGTAATCCGCTCTGGGATCTGGCACGTATCTCAGGCTCAGATTATTAGTCATCACTTCACCCTCTTCTGGCCAACTCTTAGGGGGTTGTTTGTCCGCCGGCGAGGTGAAATCTCCTTCAGCCTCCAGGTCCTTGTACTCGAGCACTCGCTCCACCGAGGTCATGGAGTTCTCCAGTTCGGCCGACTGGCGCATTCCCCATTGAACCATGCCCGTCATTCCCAGTGCCTGGGTAATGGCCAGGCCTATATGGCCCGGATTGTTTAGTGGGGGGTTGAAAAAGCTGTTCAGTATCACCGATATCACGTACGCCACACAGAAGAGGTCCAAGTAGTAGCCGAAAGCCCGACTGGTGGACAGGAATGTGTAGTAGCCACAGCTGTGCAGATCCTGGTAGTTGTCGTACTCTCTGATCAGTGTCCTTTGGGCGCCCATGGCCCGGATGGTTGGAAGTCCATTAAGAGTGGCACTAAAGTGCGAATACATCGGGGAGCGGGCCACTGCCTCCAGGCGCTTCACGTCCCTCGACGTACTCAGATAAAACTCACGCCAATAGTAGAATGCCAGTACCATGGCGATGGTACTGATCAGGTACAACGGGTTGGTCAGGCACAGCACGCAGACGATGCCCGTCAAGGTGAGGAAGACCTGTATGCAATCCAGCATTATGGCGGGCAGCCCCTCATCCACCTGACCCAGGTCCATGGCGAAACGGTTGAGGATTCGGCCGGAGGGATTCGTGTGGAAAAAGTACAAGGCCGTGCGAGACACACCACGGAACATGGAGTTGTGCAGCTCCGTGGAGGAGTGCATGGTCACGTTGAAGAACAGAAAGGTCCTGAGCAGCGCGCAAATAACCAGGCCCACATTGATGGCTGTGAAATAATAAATGTCCAACGATGACGAAGTCGATGTGTTCTTAACCCTATAAAAAGTGGATTTAATTTGTTGAGAAAATAGAATGTACCTTGTAATTCGAACACTCACCAGTAGGACAGAAAGTAATCCCCGCCAGAAGCCAGTAGCTGCGTGCCAGTGCACAGGAGCACCAGCAAGGCGAACACCACAAGGCCACAGCCTGCGCCAAAGTACTTCTTATACATGGCCACGCCAATTTTACCACCGCTTCGGGTCTCCTGCACCGGCGTTGGACTTGTCTTTGATATCTCCTTCTCCTTCTCCACCATGGACTCCAGCGAAGAGGAGCTTCCTCCGGCACTGACCGTGCTCTGAGAGCTGCTCTGGCGGGAATACGCCGGATACTTCTCATCCACATCATCTCCGCCGCCATTTTGAGTGCTCTCAGCCAAAAGCTGGGCAAAGTCCTGTCCACTCTTCAGCATCTCCTCGTAGGTGCCGCAGGCCGTGACCTTTCCCTTGTCCATGATTACAATGAGATCGGCATGCTCCAGGAACTGCAGCTGGTGGGTGACTAGTACCACCAACTTCTTACCCAGGAAGCCGCGCATGCATTCGTCGAAGAGATGCCTTCCCACATGGGTGTCCACTGCGCTGAGGGGATCGTCCAGAAGGTAGACATCCGCCTTGCGGTACACAGCTCGAGCCAAACTGATCCTAGCTCTCTGGCCACCGGACAGGGAGGCTCCGCGCTCGCCCACGATGGTTCCATCCCCTTGCAGCAACTCCAAATCGCGTTCCAGGGCGCACTTCTTGAGGACGGTTCGGTAGCGTTGCTTGTCCATGGGCAAACCAAAGAGGATGTTGTCACGCACAGAGGCATTGAAAAGCCACGGTTCTTGTGAGGCATACGAGAACCTGCCCTGCACTTCAATGGAGCCGCATTCAGGCGGCAACTCTCCGAGGATTGCCTGAACGAGGCTCGATTTGCCAGAGCCCACAGGTCCGATTACAGCTACCAGTTTGCCACCTTGCAGCGATATATTGATGTTGTCCAGCACGGGCTCATGGTGTTCCTGGCTCCAGCGTGCTCTTAAGCCTTTGATGTTCACTTGGACCTCGGACACCTTGCCATTGCCCATGGCATTATGCTGCTTCTCTCCCAGCAAATGTTGCTCCTCAGCGGGTTTTTCTTCCGTTTCGCCGGACACATCAATTATATTTGCCTCCTCGCGCTTCATAAAATTCGTGATACGACGCATGGAGACCAGTAGTTCGGCAAACTGGGACATTCCACTGGGAAAGAACTTGCTCACCGTGCGCCGCAGAATGTTGTAGAAGGCGGTGACGCAAAAGGCCCTTTCCGCCGTCAATTCACCGCCCATCAGGACGAATCCCAGGAGACTCACAAAGATGGCTATGCGTCCGAGGGTAATCTCAAAGGAAAGCAAAACGCCGCGCAACAGATTCATCTTGCGTATGGAGCTCATTTCGCAGCGCCGCATCTGCTCAATCAGTTTGCCGAATGGACGCTCCCATGTGTACATCTTGATCACCTGGATGCCCGAGATGATCTCGTTCATCATTCGCACCCGCTGGTCCGTACGCAGTGCTGTCTGCATGCGTAGCTTGGAGGTAACTCGGCTCAAGTAGGTTTGTAGTGGCAGGTAGAGGATCAAGATGCTGATCCCGGAGAAGGAAGCCACTCCGATCTGCTGGTACAGGAAGTACGCAGCGATTAGCAGCTCCAGTGGACCCAGCCATAGGAAATGGAAATGAATGAGGCATCGATCGAAGCGGTTGAGATCGTTGGAGAGCAGGTTCACCACCTGACCGATTGTGGTATCCCCCAGCGAGGAGCGGCTCAGGCGCAGGGCCTTTCGATAGATAGCGCTGCTCACTGCCACCCTCATCTTCATGGCCAAGTGCTGGAAAGATTCGGTAAATTTTATTAAAAATATCTACAAAATTGAAATTAAAACTAATAGTTATTTAGTACTTAGTATAATGCGTTCCAAATTATTTAGCTACTCAATTGATTTAATTATTTAATTGATTTTATGGTCAAGGATTCTTACCATCATGCCCATCATGTAGGGGTGAGTTAGCAGAACACTGGCCAAGACGCAGGCAATCAGGAGTACGGCATAGATCTGGGCGGGGTAGCTATTACCATTCCCATGGGCACTGAACTCCGATATGAGCCCGGCCAGAAGAAGCGGCACCGTGGCCCTGAAATAAAATGAATCGTTAAGTCACTTATTGGTTGATAAAAAAAACCAAGACTCTTACCTGGTTCCCAGTTCCAAGGCGCCAATGGCAATGCCGGAGAGGATTAGTTGCCAGCCAAAGACGCGTCCGACGACCCGCAGGAGACTTGGCTCCCGGCGACAATCGCCCTTCCGCCGGCACCGGGCCACCTCGTCCTCCCATCCCCGAAAGAACTCATCGCCCAGGCTCTCCGCTCCATGCTCGTCCAGTGTTTTGTACAGATCCGTGGGCTGGAGCGTCTGCCGGCGACCCTTGAACAGAATGGGCAGGGCATAGCTGGAATAAGAGATGAATTATGTAAATCAATCGCGCAAGCACGGATGATTCGGAGTTATGCTACGAACACTATGTGGTATCCGATAACGGTTGTCTTCGGATGTCACCTCTCAGCGGCAGTTGACACTTAAAGGTACGAGTGTTCGTCACTATGTACATATGTGGTGATAACACACATTCCTAGCGGTAAGATGAGACTTTTGCGTACCAGAACATTAGCGAGGATAAAATACCGGCCGACTCGCGCGGATTGGGTGGCAGTTTATTGGCCTGCATGATTATGTATGTATGCTAATTGGTTCGCAATTTCACAAGCTTGTATAAATCATTAAGACGCGGGATTTGATTCAATGGCAGCCTGAGTATTTCATCACATCAACAAATTTGCAGTGTATTTGTGAAGGTAAACAACGTCTGCCAATTGAACTCGACAGATGCTGCAGAAGGATTTCGCCACGTGATAACACAAATTCGCAATGGAAAACTTTCCACTCCGGTACACTAGATACGCAATAAACACAAATCACTTGAGCCGTCCACGACGCCCCGCTTTTCCAATCATTCTGTTCAATGGTCGCGCAATAAAACGCTTCGAAGCCAAATCAAATGCCCGGAATCAGCTGTTCGACCAGCTGACGCAATAGTTGTGTATGTGTATGTGTGTGTGTGTGTGTGTGTGTGTGTGTGTGTGTGTGGGAGAGCACCGTTCTAGATATGTATGTATGTGCATAGATTTATTTACATGGTCACTTCACCCTTCAGAATTTTAGGGTGGACCTTCATCAGATAAGGGTGAAGTTCTTCGTGATAAGTGTTTAGATAATATACTATCTGGGAATTTTAATTCACTTTAATAACATAATAATCGTAAATACATATCTATTAACAAATGTTTATTGGGAGCACCTATAGTTGTTAACTGGCCTTGTAATTTGTTTCAATTAATTTATATGTTAATTTATTTAGCTGCCATTAAATAACCATTAATTTGCTAATTAACTTTAGGTAATATCCTAAATAATATGGTTAATTTATTATCTTTATTTTGTTTTCTATTTTCTTCGTTAAACTTACATGTATAGCGCTATATATATATTTCTTTCACACGTTCTTGGTGCGATTTGATAAGAAAGTAAACCGTTTCTCTGAATGAAAGTTAAGTCTATCAAATATTTGTAAACCTTAAAAGCATATAAGACTTTAAATATGTATATTAATTATTGTTTACTCTTGTCGCTAACACAAGCATTTTGAAATAAAACCCGAAACCTGAAAAACCAATAAGAACAATAACAGTACAATTAAATGGTTAAGATAACAAGATATAAATAAGAAATAAATTTGCCATAGCTCCATAAGCCCTTAATGAAGACGATGTAAAATAAGTTGAGATTGATTTGTTTTATTTAAAAGAGTCTCTGCATAACTAAAGGTAAAAAATTGTATTTCAGAGGTAGATATAGAATTTGTACGGTGAAATTTTAACTATAAGTATTTAAGAGTTCCTAAGGAAAAAGGTTGCGACTTTGATTCTGGGCATCTTCAAAGGCCTGAAACAGATATTGAGTATGGTAGGTAAATATTTGTTAATTTACAAGCATATCTCCTTACCTTTTGAGCAATCTTTTGGAGGTCGTCATATGTAGCCTGACCCGTCTGCTTGACCATATCGTGGAACACCTTGGAATCCGCCATGGTCAGTAGCTCATAGGGCGACCCGAACTCCACAGCTCGGCCAGCGTCCATAACTATCACTTTGTCCGAGTCCATGATGGTGTGCAATCGATGGGCGATGGTGAGGACAGTGCACTCCCTGAACTTGTTCCGAATGGTGGCCTGGATGAGGCTATCCGTTTGGGGATCCACATTGGCCGTGGCCTCGTCCATCACAAGGATTCTGTTCTCCCGCAGAATGGCTCGAGCCAGGCATACCAACTGGCGCTGACCCACGCTGAAGTTTGATCCACCCTCGGTGACTTTGGTCTCTAACCCAGTGGCCAAATTGGCCACCACATCCTTCATCTTTACCTCCTCCAAGGAGTGCCACAACTTTTCATCGCTGAACTCGTCGAAGGGATCCAGATTGTGTCGCATTGTGCCGGAGAAAAGGACGGGTTCCTGGGGAATAATCGAGATCTTGCTGCGCAGGTCGTGCAGACCCATCTCACTTGTGTCCCTCTTGTCGATGAGAATGGATCCATCGTTGTAGGAAAGTCGAAAGAGGGCGTTAATCAGCGAGGACTTTCCCGCCCCAGTGCGTCCCACGATGCCCACCTTTTCCTTTGGCTGGATGACGAAACTAAGGGACTTGAGCACATTTTCCGACTTCGGATCCGGCGTATAGCGCAGGTTCAGCTCATCGAACACTATTTTTCCGTGCTCTGGCCAGGAACTGGGTGGCTTCGTATCATCTGGGGCTTCTAGAGTTCCCTCCGGCTCAATGTCATCGTACTCAACCACCCGCTCCACGGAAATCATTGTGTTCTCCAACTCTGCCGACTGACGTATGCCCCACTGGACTGTGCCCATTAAGCCTATGGCCTGGCAGATATTGAAAAAGTAAAGGATGTTACAAAAGTTGCGTTTTATGGGCTTTTTACCTGTGATATGGCCAGACCCACATCGCCGCCATTGGCCGGTGGAAAGATGAAGAAGCCGAGGGTAACGATCGCTATGTAGAGCATACAGAAGATGTCCATCCAGTAGCCGAAGGCGCGTGAAGTGCTAATGAACATGTAGGCAGCAGAGCTGTGCATATCTTGGTAGCCATCGAACTCCGCCTCCAAAATGCTCTGAGCTCCAAAGGCTCGGATGGTGGAGAGACCAGTCAGAGAGGCAGCGAAGTGCGAGTAAACTGGAGATCGAGCTGCGAAGAGGTTGGTGTTTTAAGGGGGTTTTGTTAATGCCTATTCCATTACTTATCACTTACTACTGGCCTCCAAGCGTTTAACAGCCCGAGAAGTTTGCAGATAGAAAGTGCGCATATGATAGAAGAGAAATCCAAGTGCAAGGGCGGGTGGTAGGAACAAAGGATTGACAATGGATATGACAAGAACAGTGCCAGCCAGAGAAAGAAAGTCCTGGATGACGGTCATCATCACAGTGGGCAGCGTTTCATCCACCACTCCCATGTCCTTGGAGAATCGATTGAGGATGCTACCCGAGGAGTTCATGTTGAAAAAGTACATGGAAGCTCGAGAGATGCCTCGAAACATGGAGTTGTGTAATCGAACCGAGGCCTTCATCGCCAAGTTGTAGAACAGAAAGGACCTTTTTACGGTCACGACAATGATCAGCACTGTAATCAGCATGAACATATAGGTGTCCTGCATCTCAGATTTGCCCAGATTTTGCCACCAAGTCGGGAGACTTGAATCCACCTCTTTATTCCGTAGGGTATCTTCTTGCGTTTCCTCAATGCGTTTCTTGGAGACCCTAAGAAAGAGAGAGTTTAATGTATATATATACGTTATATAAACTAGTGGATCCTTACCAGTAAGACACGAAGTAATCTCCCAGTGAGGCCAGGCCCTGAGAGCTCAAATAAAAACTCATCATTACGGCGAAGGCGAAGAATCCACCTCCTGCCTTGAAGTAATCAGTGTACACTCCGAAGCCGCTGTGTCCAGTCTCTTGTGGCTTCTGATTGATCATTTCTTTCTCTGGGTCATCCCCTGGACAGGACTCCGCAATGGACAGCACGGATTTCACACTGTTGCGCCGCTGCTCTGTGACACTGGAGGTTCTTGATCGAACCTCCTCCGGCTCCTCGTCATTATCCTGCTCTGAATCACTCAGTATGCTGCCAAAATCAACTCCCGATTTGTGGAGCGAATCATAGGTGCCAACAGCACTCACCACGCCCTTTTCCATGATCACTATTTGATCGGCTTGCTGCAGGAACTGCAATTGATGGGTGGCCAGGATGACGATCCGGTCGCGCAGATAATCGCGCATGCACTGTTCGAAGAGATGGCGGCCCACATTGGAGTCCACCGCACTCAGCGGATCGTCCAGCAAGTAGATGGAGGCCTCCCGGTAGACAGCCCTCGCCAAACTGATCCTGGCCTTTTGGCCACCCGAGAGGGATGCTCCACGATCTCCCACAATGGTTTTGTCCTTGAGTGGGAGTAGCTCAAAGTCTCGTTCCAGAGCGCATTTCCTCACCACCGAGTGGTACCTACGGCGATCCATGGGCTGGCCGAAGAGGATATTCTGGCGCACGGTGCCGGAGAAGAGCCACGGATCCTGGGAGGCATAGGACAGCGATCCACTCACCTTAATCTCACCGGACTCAGCTGGCAGCTCACCCAGAATGGCTTGAATTAGGCTGGATTTTCCGGAGCCAGTGTGACCCACAATGGCCAGCAAAGTGCCGGGTTCGACACGCAGACTGACTCCATTCAGTGTATAATCGGGTGATTTGGAATCCCACTTGGCTTTGAGTCCAGTTATGGATAAACGCGCACTTGAATGAAGATTTTTATCAGTAGTAATGGCGGGAAGAGGTGTTCCCAACAGTTTCTCCTCAGCCTCATCGAGATCTTCTTCGGCCTTGGAATTTTCGAGCCTGTTATCCGGGATTTCCGTCTCCCCGGATTCCAAGAACTTCTGTATACGCTTGATGGAAACGAGGGTCTCTGCCGTTTGGGTGATACCCAATGGAAAGAAGGCGGTCATGTTGAGACGCAGGACCGTGTAGAAGGCGGTGATTAGAAAAGCCGCCTCGGCCGTGAGGAAGTGGCCCAGTAGAACGAAGCCCACCAAACTGAGGAAAACGGATAGGCGGCTGAGGAAATTGTTGAAAGACAGGAGAATGCTCTTTATGTAGGCCACATGCCGGATGGTATTGATCTCCTTCTGGCGTGCATATTCCACCATCCGCTCGAAAGGCAGCTCCCAGGCATACATTTTGATCACCTGTATGCCGGAGATGAGCTCGGTCATCATCCGCATCCGCTTGTCCGTCCGCAGAGCGGTCTTCAGTCGCAGCGCCGATATCTTGTTGCCCAGATACATTTGCAGGGGTATGAAGAGCAGCATGACGGACACCCCCAAAACGGCAGCGATTCCAATCTGCAAAGGACACATGATTTTTGGCTATTTGGGGAGTATTAGTTTGGAGAACTCACCTCTTGGTACATAAGGTAGGTCACCACCAGCGTCTGCAGTGGGGCCAACCAAAGGAAGTGGGTGAATTGGATGAAGGTGTCCATGCGGCCAAGATCATTGGAAATCAAATTGATTATGTGCCCGGCAGTAACTTCGCCCAGGGTTGTTTTACTCAAACGTAGGGCTTTTCTGTAGACCATGCTGCTCACACCCACTCGAATCTTGAGACCTGCAGACGTCTTGTTTAGCCAGGATGCGATGACAAATGAATAACACACATACCCAGATGAGTGATGGCAAATGAGTAGGGATGTAGAAGGATTACGCCGAGGGCCGAGCACAAAATCACTCCAGCCGCATAGGCATATGCCGTCCCGATGGAATCCAAACCGTTGGAGTAGTGCGAGATGAGCTTCGCCAGAAATATGGGTTGCAGCGTAAGTATGAACTGCACGATGAACAGAAGAAGGCCAAGGAAGCAAAAGTACCTGCCGAATACCCGCAGAAGAGCCCTCAGCAAACTGGCGTTCTCCTTGTGACTCTCGAGTTCTAAAGCCCACGAACTGCATATTTTGTTGCCAAGAGCATCTGAAATGGGAATTTTCATTCGAAAGTTATACCAAAATCGAAGAGATTTACAAATTTATACCCGATTTGTGCTCCTTCAAGGCCCTAAAAAGGTCTTTCGTACCCAATGTTTCCTTTCGCCCTTTGATAAAAGTGGGCATGGTATACCTAAGTTAAACTAAACAGCTTTAGTATGTTTATTTAATAAATGCACTTACTTACCAGAAACATAGTGCCGAAATAATGTTCGCTCGCTCTCGAGGATTCTCCGGCAGATCTTCAGTCTTTAGCGACTGCATTTTTCACGCCAGCGAATTTCTAACGAAATCAATAGAGTGTGCTACATTGAAATCATAATCCGGCCTTTCTAACTTTGTGTAGGCGGTTTATCTAATCATGTGTATTTGATCGCAAATACTTAATTACACTTAACTTAAAGCTTTATTCAAATAATACAAGAGTACGAGATAACTAAAAAAAAATTTTAGAAACGACAACCGGCGACAAAAATTGTTAAAATATGTAATCCAAACCAAAATCCGTCCGCGCTCCGAAATGGTCTGAAAGAAACTGACTTGCGAAGTTAAGAATACCGGCTCATAAAGCCAAATTCGTATATCAACAGTGAGATAAGAGGTATTTTATAGTTCTAAGATGATGGTTTCCATGAAAACTTCTACCTTTTACTAATTTAACAAAAAACATTTTATCATCGGGACTGCGTTTGGGCTTAATCGACTTAAATCCCTCTTAAAATTAAATAGATAAGTTAACAAAAATATAAAGAGATGCTAGAGAATCAGAGAATCATAAAAGTAATCCTATTTTTAAATAATTCCCCACTGCACCATTACCATCTATGGCCTTTAAAATACAGAAATGCTAAGAAAATCAAAGGTAATAACTAATATACAGAGGTTTAACAAAACATTTTGTTTTAATTATAAGTAAAAGGGTATATTAACATTGACTGGCCGAATTTGTTTCCTTTCTTTTTGTAATACTTAATTATACTTAATTTATTATTGATTAAAGTAGCTCAAAAAAAATATCATTTGTTTTCAATAATTACTTTACAGATCGTTACTAACATTTTTTTAACAGTTTAGTCGATTCCCACACCACCTAAAAGCTCTTTGCTACCCAAGAAACATTTTAAAAACCCTAAAAATAAATCTAATGGGGTTCGAAAAGGGACAAGCTAAAATAGAAGAAAAGTATATTTGAGATAACAAAAATCTGTATTTAAAAAAAAATGAGTGGAGTTTTACTAAGCTTAATATTTATGTTTAACAAAGATTTTAACTTATTCAGCAAAGGGTTAACCTTAACGTAGCCTAAAACATCATACCAAAAAGCTCGAAACTATAGCAAATGACAACTTAGTACGGTTATGGTAAGCAAGTACCATTGCATGTATAGATGCGATAGCACACCTGTGTACACTTAATAGCACACCAGCGTATTGAAGTTATCAGCAAAAAGAGAATATATAATATAGATAAGCATTGCAAACGAAGAGCTTGGTCCGTTTGCAAGTGAAATTGATTAGGTGAATGGGAAATGAGGGTAAAAAAGAGTATTGCCAGACGATAAAGAAGTCAGTTAGCCCACGGCGGTCGATACAAGCAGTCAGAAGTTTTGGATTAAGAAACTCAAGTAAAAAGCGAGAGCCATGAGAGGATATAACCTATGTGTCGTTCTGATAACAGCACTCGTTCTTGGCCAGCTGGACAGCACTTTGGCTAAATGTAAACTGGCAATTTCCCCACAAGTTTTCCACCTAATTTTCCTCTCCATTTAACGCAGTGTGCCTGAGCTGCACCTCAACGGCAGCTGATGCAATTTGTCTACTGAACCCAACTGCCGCGGAAATCACTACTGTAGAATGCACGGGTGATTGCTATACCTCCACAGGTGAGTTTTGCATGACTCATGCCCGACTATTTTATGTTCTTAGACAAAGGTAGGAAATGCAGGCAGTGGACTCCATTACCAAAATGGGCAGCTACAAGCGATAAGCGATTATCTCTGTTATTGATAACACTGATCCTTATTTTCCACGGAATTTCAATACTAACTTATTAATTTTGAACGGTACAAATATTTATGTTCTGGTGATTCATTCAAGTATTCCACCAGTTGGCTTGTGATATACTTCTTCCCTTGGCTATGGCCTGAATGTTGACTTAATCTGTTTATGTATTTCGTTTTATTGGATTATGAAAAACTGGGTTACGATAAGTGATATGAACTTTTTAGGCGGGTCTTTTCACAACTGAAAGAGTAAATCTTGGGGGCTTAAAATGTGTATTTCACTGTTCGCTTGAATATAATTTTCATACCTAACTTATTTCATTTAAAAGCTTGTTCTTTTATTATATCACACTTTTGATACGTTTGGTTTTGTATAAATGTTAATATAAATACATATGGCATTTCTGCACCGCAATAGTTGGAATTATTTGAAATAACAAAATAAAAAATAGAAAATTTGTTAAATAATGACAAATATCTACATTTTATATGGTTTCCCGGTTCCTTTCTTATATAGATAAAAATAATTTTGTCTTGAATTTAGATAGCACAAAATAATAATAATAATTAATGACTATGTCCTTTGCAGATGGTAAGGGCAACTTAACGCGTGGCTGCTTGGACAATCAGCAAGCCTGCAGCGGACCCAGTTGCTCGTCTTGCAACACGGACAAGTGCAACAAGAACCTGTTGTGCCAGCAGTGCCTCGGCGAGGCGGAGTGTGCTCAGACCAACGTGACGGATGTGAAATACAATGCGGTGTGCTCCGACGGCCAATTTTGTGTTAACCGGGTGAATGATGGCAACAGTTCGGTGAGCCGCCAGTGTGGCACCGCTTGTGCCGCTGGAGAGGCGGCCACCACGTGCTCCTCCTGCCAGACGGCGCTGTGCAATGCAGGACTTTTCCCCAGTACCCGGCAGCAGTGCTATAATTGCACCGGAACCGGATGCGACGCAGTTGCGCCCTCGATGATCATTGGATGTAGCCAAACCGATGCCAAGTGCTTCACAACCGGAACTTCGGCGACCAACATGACCCGCGGCTGCACTTCGGCTACCACGGAAATCAAGTGTGCGGCTGATAGCACCGATCCCAGTTGCCTCATCTGCGATTCCGGCCTGTGCAACACTCTGACGTACCAAAGGGATGCCGGCTCCTGTATGGTGTGCGACTCCTGTGCGGAGACACAGGATGCGACCAAGGCGACACCCTGCAGCCAGGCCCTCTACAACCAGACCATCGGCTGCTACACAATGACAACGGGCTCCACAGTCAAGCGAGGATGCCTGAACAGCTTGGAAACGGAGTGCACTGCGGCCAATTCGTGCACCTCCTGCCCTACAAGTGGTTGCAATGTGGCCGCCGAAGCTTTCAAGTGCATCGCCTGCATCTCCAACGAGATAAATGGCTGCTGGGATGCAATTGCTCCTGCCAAGGATTCCGTCGTCGACTGCCCCAGCGAAGTCTGCTTCAATGGAGTCTGGAGTAAGATGTTCACATATCTAACCTGAATTTCTAACGACATTGCATTTATGCTCAATTCATTTATCAAAAAAGATAAGATAAGACACGATACTTTTAGAGAAAAAGCGAAAATTGTATTTGTTGCACAGTATGTAGAAAGAAATATTCTTGATCAGAATCACTAGCCAAGTCAATCTAGTCATGTCCGTCTGTCTTTCTCTATGTCTGTATGAAGGTCAAAATCTACGACAGATTCTGGTTATTTCACGATATGCAGCGCAAGTTTATTAGAAAATGCAATTCTAAAACCGCGAATCTCTGAATTAATTACTCTGGTAATTACTCTGGACTATCATCAGTCCAACTTTCCAAACCGAACAAGATTAAAAGATTTACCTAGAAACTAAGGTATATGTATGTTTTTTACAATAGATGACGCTTTGGACTGCATGCGAAAGCTGCTAACGCCATCTGGCGGAGGCAAATATCTTTGAACATTTGTTCAATTCGAGTAACTCGTACGGGACAAACAATTAAAGATTATTTTCTTGTTATCTGTATATTGACTTTTTACAGAAGATTTTATTTTTGAATAAGTCTAATAGATTTCCAACCATTTTTTTTTTTGCAGATGGCCTTGCGGTGCGAGACTGTTTCAGCTCCGCTAGCCCTTTGATGCAGTACCAGTGCAATGCCGCAATAGAGCCTTATCAGTGCAAGACGTGCAAGACGTCCTTGTGCAACGATAATAAACTCAATGGAGCCTCCTCCCTCAGCCAGGTGGGCGTGGTCGGTCTGGTGATGGCCCTTTTGCTCGCCCTTCGCAGTGCCCTGTAAGCCTGGAACCTCAGAGATAGTTGACTAATCTATCCATGTTATCAGGTCGCTGGGTCTATGACTCATGCTGACTATTGTAGCGCAGCAGACAGAAGAAAACATAATTACAATAGCGAAAGCTAATTAGGAATACTTTAATAGTCCCAAATAAAACATCTGTAAATACAATTGGTTTTGAGACTTCTTTGAGTTCGGGAATTATTAAGAAAGCTGAATACCTTCATAAGTGGGGTTGGCAAGTAAAAGAATGGTTAAAACAGTTAGTGCTTATCAAAATGGCAAAAAAAACTTATCAGATAATGATAACAGCTTATCAATCTAACCATTAATAATAATGCGCATTGTTTGGTCTATAAAAAATGCATATATGTAGGTTGTCACAAAATTTGAATTCTTTACAAAAGATTTGGATTTGCTTTCTAATAAGCTCTTTTAAATTTAAATGTTAGTCAAGCAATGATCAAATAATTTAAAGGTATTCTTTGCTTATTTTTTACGAGCACAAGATTGAGCCCGATTAAATCATAGAAAACTATTGTTTTAATTTTTATTTTTTATTTGATTTTTTATTAATTTTTACAACCAAAATTTAGTGTGATTTATTGATAATTATAATAAAGGTTTAAGCTTGATAAAATGTTCTTCAGCTAAGCATTTCGAAGTGAAAGCATATATAATAATTTAATTAATCTTGTGCTGTTTAATAACTTTCATATAATGTTTATGTGTTCTTTATATTCCTTGTTGGCTATTTTCCCGTTTACACACTGATTAAAAGACAGCCGATCGAACTAGCGATCATTAGGAACTTTGAGACCATCATTCGAGCTCCTTCTCCTCCATCAGTTTCAAAGCCATTACTGGTGATGTCTATGTTATTGCAATCAGCTGTGTAACACTTGTGGCACACTTTCTCATTTTTCTTACAATATTCAAGATCGCTCTCGTTTAAGTCGGAAAAACAGCTCCTATTGATATACCCTTCTGGGCCCCCAGCATTGCTGGAAAAATTGTAGTAAATAGAGATACATCCATTTAGTACACCCAGTTGTAGGGGACACCACTTTTTCCCTTTTTCATTTAAAGATTTACCCTCATATGGGGCACAAAATTTACAGCTTAAGCATCTTAAAAGCGGTGATAGCGTTTGTTCGACCGGTTCTTCGGTTGTTATTAAAATGACGTTGTCTTCATGTTTCTGGTTATCAATTGCGGGCCAAGATGTTGAGGTTATAAGAGATTCTCCACTGGTGATAATATTGTTTTCAATATTTGACACATTAAATGTCTCCTCGTGGTTTTTATCCTGGGCTTCGAACAACGGCAGCAAAGCAACTAGAATAAAATATCTTAGTAGATGTCCCATTCTCACGAATATTTCAAGGATATATTGTCTCTTTGCTTGTTGAGCAAGGTTTGTCCACAACAATTTTTATAGTTTCCGATTTTCTTGTAGTGTTGCTTACAACTGAAAGCAGTGTTCATAAAACTGTTTATAAAAACCCCAGTTAATGTCACGCCATTAAATTGCTTTCAAAACATGTTTTTATCTAAAACTCAAGGGATTGCTAAACACGATTAAAGGTCGATCCCATATCCCCGCACTGTTAGAGGTGCTGAATAATTAATGCTGATTAATCATGGAAATGTAAGTACAAGTTATATGGTCTAACATAATATATATCAGTTTAATCCATTATAAATATTTTTAAAATGCTGCCACCAGTAGCAGTTTTTGTAGAAAAGTTCGTTGAATGATATAGATACATTATGCAATTTTAAGTTCCAAAGCGATAACTATTTATAAACAAACAGTTCAATATAAATAGACCCATGTATTAAAGAGACTAAAATAAGTTCTGCGCCATTTTCAAGCATTTGTCCATTAAGTATATGTTTTAGAAGTTGATTTTTCAACCATTTATGGCCACCTTGAAAGCAAACCGACCAAACCAATGATAACTAGATGCATTGAGGCAACTGTTCGAGCTTCTCCTCCTGTCACCAACCCATCCTTGGTTATGTCCACAACATTGCAATCAGCATCGACACACTTGTGGCAAAGTTTCACATTTAACTTACAGTACGCGACCATTCCGTCTTCTAAATCGGCAATGCAACCCCTCACCATAAAGCCTTCACGACCTCCAGCGGTGTTGCGAACCTTTAGAAAAATAGATATGCAGCCATGCAGTACACCCGGTTTTATGGGGCACATCTGTTTACCCATGTCACTTAAAGTCTTCCCTTCATTTACATCACAATATGCGCAACTAAAACATCGTATAGGCGGAAACATGGTTGTGGTGGCTGGTTCTTCGGTGGTTATTAAATCTTTCCCAGTATCGTGCTCCTGGCTATCAATTTCAGGCCAATGGGTTGAGTTCTTCAGTGATATGGTGCTTTGATCACTAGTGACATTAAATGCCTCCTTCTGGTTATTATCCTGCGCTTCAAGCATCCGCAGTAATGTTATTAAAATAATGTATCTAAGAAGCACCAACATTTTTATTTGTCAATAGCGGTTTATTCTAAATTGTAAAACGCCTTTTTCTCCTTCCGTTTTCCTTTCCAATTTGCTAGCAACTAAGAGCAGTGCTTAAAACCTTAGAGGTCTTGTTAACTCCAATTCAGTGATTGTCACGCTGTTTATGTGCTTTCAATAAAATGGGTTCTGAAGCTCGAGGGAATTTTAATGGATCTCCCTGCACCATTAAAAGATTGCTTAATAATTGGTTTTGTGGAGCTATTGGCAAATTACTGTAAGTTTCAACCACATTTTCATTAAAAGTTCTTTGAAGCTTAGAATAATTTTTGGATATTTTATTATATTATTTTAATATATTTACAAAACTTGCATTATTTTTTTTTAATTTTAAACGCGAATGCTATTATAAATTTTAAAGTTACAAAGCGATAAGTAATCATAAAACAAACCATTTGATATTATTATACTTATGTATTTTATAGATAAATCCAAATTATCTAGACAGACCGCCGATCTAATCTGCGATGTTAATTATTAGTCATACTTATCGATTTTTAAGTGCGCCAAGCTTTATGAACTTATTAATTGTTGTGACTCAGAGTTGCGCTTTTGTGATTGTGATTTTTGCATTCAAGCACCTGCCCAACTGAATAAATAGATGCTAAAGATTAGAAAAGGGGCCACCAGATGATGGGCGGCAGCACCAGAAGCCGGCAAAGTGTTTTCGAATTGAGTCATATTATGAACATTGCAATCGTTTTCGTAGCACGTGGGACAGAGTTCCTTATTTTTATCGCAGTAAGAAGAAAACGAATTTCCCAATTCGGATATGCAGCCTCGGTTTATGTAACTATTTTTACCCGGAATGAGATTGGGATCTAGAACGAGCATGGTACGGCATCCATTTCTTGTTCCCGGAATCGGAGGGCAGTATGACTTGGGTTCTGATGTTGTTATCTTATTGCAGAACGTGCAGGAGTAGCATCTCAATGGGTCGGGAAGTGGGGGCGATGCTGGTTTTAAAGTGGTTCCAATTGTGGTTGAAGGTGTGGTCTCATCTTGGGGGCCTTCAGGTCCATCACCCTGGTAATCGGGAGATCCTCCCGTTTCGTTTGCGGAATGTGACTCCTCCGTTGGCAAAGTTAATGGTTTTGTGGGCACATCGGGAAGCACACCTGAAGATGGTTCTTCAGTTACGGTAGGCAATTGATCTGAGTGCTCGGATGTTTCTGTTTCTTGAACAGTTTCAGGATTTTCTGGTGGGGGAGAATTATTAGTATTAGTATCTTTTTCCGGCTCTGTTTTATCTTCTTCCGATTTGTGATCCATTGTAGTCCCTTCCGGAGGATTTTCTGCGCCCACATTTGTTTCTCCCGACTGATGATCCATCTCTCCTACTTGGCTGCCATCAGATGGTATATCTTCTGTACCCATAGACGCTTCGACAGGCTCTTTGTCAATAGCAGGCACATTTGTTGTGCTCATAAAAGACTGATTTTCCCCAGGCGTTTCCAAACCATTTTCTTTTATTGCCGTTGGCTGGTCTTCATTTTTGTCCAAGAGTTCACCTTCTTCCTGGGCCCTGCTCCACTGAAGTAGGACAGTCAAGGAAATCCAGATAACCAGCAGTCTGATCCGCATTGTGGTAACTGATCGGTTGAAACTTCGCAGAGCTTATGACTTTGATGGGGAAATAAATCTGCCACTGAACCCGCAGAGTGGATGGGCTTATCAGATCAGTATCTTTTGTTATCGTTTTATCCCCGCTCTGAAGAGCTCGACAAATAGCAATGTTTGTTTTGCACTGTTCTGGCCACCGATGAGTTTGCTATTCCCGACCTGTCCCGTGGCTGTTTAGCTCTCAACTGAGAACAGTGGTCATTAAAGCGCCCGGACATACGATATGTGTACTTGAATCCGCTGATTGTCACGCAATTATCCGGTCTCTAAATTAAATCGATATCTCAGGGGGAAGGCCGTGGTCGAGGGACCCTTGACCCACGTTTGTGAGCCGACTCCCGACAATCCCGCAGCAAATGCGAGCCCCTGAATTATTGATGATGTGAACCTTTCGATGGAACCGATGGGACACTCCGATAATGGGGTCAAGGCACAGACCATATTTCGGTTATGACATTTTTGGTCATTATGCATATGCTCGAAATAAGTCGAGTGATTGTGGTTTGAAAAGGCTGAAACCAAATTAATCCATACCTCAATTATTATATCATCAAATATTTAAAGATTTATGTAGTAAAATGCAAATGAAAAAAAATTTATAAACAATTTATATATGCTCATCAATTTAATTTGAAGATAACCCTTTTTTTCAAATGGTTTTTTACTAGCTTATCCTTATCAACTCTTTGTTATACTGCCTGATAAGTAAGAAACAGATTATTTCAGATTTCAATGGGAATACAAAGGTGCAATTTTTTAGTTTACATTATTTATGAGCAGTCAAAATGCTTGCACTGAAGCTCAGTCGCCATATACTCCTCCTTCTCCTGATCCTCCTGCAAACAGGTGAGCCCATTGCCATTTCTCCCAGAAATAATGCGTAGCTAAACTTTGAAGGGGTTTCTAATAATAGGACAAAGTTTTGCCATTGTTTGCTATCACTGCGATTCCATTGCCCTGCCTGAATGTTCGCAGACCCTTGGAGAGGTGGGAGTACTTCCCTACCTGGATTGTCCGACGGAGCTGACGTGTGCCATGTCCATTGGTGAGTATTTCCTATTAATTCTCAATTGATGTCAAGTCAGCATTTTCAAAGAATTATTTTTGCATTTCCTTAATAGTTTTTAAATTAGGAATTTTTATATAAGTTACGAAAAAACTACAATTATAATTCTTGGTAACCATACGCAATCCCCTAACTAATTTCCCCCCTCACTCAGTGGACACCATCACATATCGCGGCTGCGGAGCTGAAACCCCAATCACCGGAGCAACTTACTCAAAGAGTTGCTCCTCGAACTTGTGTAATGCCGGTGTCTATCCCCCTGGACGGCTCAAGTGCCATCACTGCGCTGGACAGGATTGCGTGGCAGCTCCAGGGGCAAAACCAAAACCCTGTCGCTATCATCTGGAAGAGGATCAGTGCTACACGGATGTTATAAGTTCAACCGAAGCTTACAGGGGTTGTGTCTCCGAGCAGAATCACACGCTGTCCAGTGCCGCCAAACTGTGTGAAATCAATGGCTGCAATGAGGATCAGGGAGCTTGGATACAAACCTGCGCCAAGTGCGATTCTGCAGACGGCAGGGGCTGTAAGATGGATCTCTTCCAGGTGAACACGGCCAGGTGTAATGTGAGCCTGTACGAGGAGTGTCAGCAGCAGGTTCTGTTGGGTGAACCGGAGGATAAGTACTGCTTTAGCTTTCGGAAACTAAGTCGCGTGGTTAGAGGCTGCTCTACGATAATGCCTGCAGATCTAGTACCCTATGAGGAGGAACTGGAGAAGTGTAGAGCTGGAGACAATTGCAATGCCGGCTGCATTACTCGGCAGAAGTGTTTGACCTGTAACTCTGTGGATCAGGAACTTTGCAGGACGAATGTGACCGCTATAAGTAACAGCACTTGCGGCTCCGCTGAGGCTTCCTCCTGCTTCACCTGTGAGTACTCCAACTGGAGTATCCAAAGAGGATGTGGTGCAGCACCAACAAACCCAGGAATCCTCAACTGCTACGAATGCGATGAAGAAGATGGCTGTAATCGTAAGGATTTCACACGCTGCTACCAATGCAGCACGGGTCAAGCGGGAGCAGGCTGTGCAAATTGGGAGAGGCCAGGGGAAATATACATCGAGGAATGTGTTGAGCCAGGAACATCTTGTCTTGTTGTTTCCTATAGAAACGGTACGACTTCGAGGGGTTGTGAAAAAGCGAACTTCAACTGCAATTCAGAAAATGCGGCCAACTGCCGTTCCTGCCAAGGAAGCTTCTGCAACAAAGGAGCCTTTCCGGACGAGCGTCTCTGGTGCCACCAGTGTAAAGGAGTGCAGGAATGTGAGGAGATCCCCAGGGGACAAACTGCTCTACCTTGTCCTGTTCCAGCCAACGAACCAGATAATCAAAAATTGGCCTGTTTGGAGTACTTCGACACCCACAGCCAGCAAATTGTAAGAGGATGTCGTTCCAATCCGGAGCTGTACTATGAATGCCTTTTGAGGAGCAACCACCATGATAGTTGCCGCATCTGTCACAGTCAAGCCTGCAATAATAGTCCTGGAAAGGAGTTGAGAGCAACATATGAGCTAGAGGCCAAAGCAATGGCATTGCTACAGGCCAGAAGTTCAGCAAACTCCTTTAAAGACTCGAAAGTGGGTTGCGGGTTTTGGTTGATCCTAAGCGTTATTTATATGTTAACTTTCTGAGGCTACAAGAAACATGAATACTTGTCACAAGATTCATTACAATCCTCCAATGATATCCAAGTGGTTGTTCTTTAGCGTTATTTATCTTGTAACTTGCGGAGACTATAAATAAAGGAAAAGCAGAACTGAAAAGGATTGCCTCTTATTCCGGGGGCGTATAGCCGGGATTCAAGGCACGACCGCGGTGATTGAAGGAGTAGAACGAGGGAAAGTTGCCCAAGGTGTCCCACGTTTTCTGCTGCATGTCAACGGTGGCGCGGATTTCCTTGAAGTTGCCCACCACCTCGATGATGTTGTAGATCACAATCACCAAGCTGATAACGGTCTGCAGGATAATCTAAGAATTGTCATGGGAAACCTTGCGTTAGTTAAGCTTAGTAACACCCTAAACTAGTTAGAACTCACATCCAAGGGAAGGCTAGTCCATTCCTGCTCAGTCAGCCTCAAATAAGTGCGATCTGTGGAATAAATTTGTCACCTTTATTAGCGGTCCAAAGTTTAGTTACCAAATTAGAGTTAAATACTCACGGTGGGCAGCCGAAAATGCAGCGTGAGCCAAGCTGGCGAATCCGGCAATCAGTAAAAGCTTATTGAAAAATTTACTACCCATTTTTTATTGAACAATTACAAATAACAGTGGCAGGCGGAACTATTTTCTATAAAATTTTTGCTAATTTGCAAATGCGGGCACACTTAGCGGTGGAACTTTATTCGATAGTTGAATGTTTTTTTTTGCATTGGTAATCGATATTTTTTTTAGAAAACTTAAAAATATATATAAAAAGGTTGCAACCATTTTGGGAAAAAAGGTTTTTACGAGTTTAATTTACTACTTATATCAGTATAAAATTTATTTATTTTGCAAAATTTATTTATATAAATTGCAAGAGAAATTACGAAGAGAAATTAAGAAATTAATCCTTTTTTTTTACTTCGAATGTAATAAATGCCTTTTTAAAATAATAATTTTATTCCATTCTTCGGTTATTTTAAAATTACACATTACCGGCATACTCCTTGGTATTCAAATGTATTTTACATGTAACAAATGTAATCTACACGATATTTTCATCTGTCAACTATCGGTTGCAGTTTTACATGATATTGGTATTTATGCCTTGCCACTCACACACTAAAAAAGCCGCCGCGCCTGCATGTATATTTGAACGTTTTGGCCACGGTCCCACTATTCGTTTTTCAACATTCGGAAGGTTCGGAAGTCTGCGCGCAATTTAAGCGGAAAACCAGTGTCCAATAAGATAAATCAACCTGCAGTAAAAACCCGGCATTTAAAGCGCACTTTGCAAAGTAATTTTTTCAAAGTCAAAAAGGACTCAAGGCCACGCCCCCGCCCATACAAAGCAGTGTGTGTGTGTGTGTTTTCCTAGCGCATCCGTCGTTTTGCTGTATTTGTGTGTGTATCCCGACGTCTCTTTTGCTGTCCTTTTTGCGTGGGTGTGCCAAAAAGGAGAAGAGAGAAGGAGAACCAGTGAAATTCCAGCGCATCAAAGCAAGTCAATAAAGGCCGACAACATGTCAGTTTCCTCGAACGCCTCTTCGGCCTCCAACAAGGACAGCGTGGACAGCCCCAGCAGCACCACCAACACGGACAGCTCCGAGCTGACGCACATTCTCAATCGGCGGCAGGAGATCATGGACTCGCAGGAGGCGGGCATCGAGATCCCACGCACCTTTAAGGTGGTCAACGTCTACACCGAGTTCCACGAGTTCTCCAGGAAGCAGATCAAGGACTACCAAAAGACCTTCAACACGTAAGTCACGGCCACCAATTCTGAGTAACCTTACTTTTCTTAAAGCGCATTAAGGTTTCTTTAAACAAACTTTGCTTTAATAAAGCAGCATTAAGACTTTTTTAAATATAAAACTTTTTCTTTTTAATTCAAAATTGTAGTAACAATATTTATTTTGTTCACTACAGTGGAAAAATTTGAATAACAATTTTTCAATTTTAATAAGTAAACTTTGGTTACAACTATTTAAAAAAAAAAGTTTTATCATTAATTTATAATATTAAAATAATTTATAATTTTTCTAAAGCTGTTAGGAAACGTAGTACACCTTATTATAATGTTTGTTATTTGATTAAAAGTGTTGGGTATTTGTTTAAAGATTTGAATTTAAAATGTTAATATTTACTAAAAATAAAAATTATTTTTACTAAATTAAAACATTGTTGTAGGGTTGTTCGTTGTGTATACGGTCGAAAGAAGTAACCTTCGCACTCCTTTCACCTGCAATTGCCACTTTCCCAGGCATCTCACCACATTCACGTCTCATTGGTTGGCAACAGAAAACTCAAGCGCCTAATGGGCATTTAAATTGCATTTACTACAGCCCCTCCTTGGTGCCTCCCCCTTCACCATGGTCCTCAGAGCAATGGGGCATGACTCACAAGTGTAATACTTGGGGAGCAGTATTGTCGCACACACTGGCTTATTCCCAAGTCGTGCTCCCGCCGAGCGGATCATGAGTCAAAAGTGGTTTTCTGCCCCAACACTTTCAGGCGGTTTCAATTATTACACTACAGGCGAGCTCCCCTAAGTGCGATTCCTTGTAACAAAATCCAATTTCACTAATGGCTATTTTTTATAAAAAATGTATGTTTCTTAGTATATATATACAAAAACATCAAAATCGTTAAAACCAAAACTTAACTTAATAGCGACTTTTAAATTTTCAATCGCTCAGAGACTCTAAAACATATCCCATCAATAGGCTTATTTAAATGTACAGAAATTGCATAAGGTTAGAATCAATTTTCAGTTTTCATCAAGGTACTATTAGTTAAAAAATTAGTTGTGTGGAGGATAGCGGTAAAGGTTATCAAAGATCACCTGTAATAATGCCGTACCTGTGTGCGGTTTTGCATTACCATCCCATCCGACAATGTCAGCTGTCGACTAACTGACACCTTGCAAACGAAATGTTTTCCGAGGTTTTCCCTTCCCCAGTTTCCTAGTCTTGTGGTGGATCGTATTTATGATAGCCCGACTCGGGTTTCACTCAATCAACCGCAGCAGTGTTGCGCAATGGTTTTCTGTTAGATTAAGTCTCTAGAATTGTTATTTAAATTCAAGTTGTTGGCACGTAGGGCCGTCTGGACTGATAAGTTATCAAGGCTCATCCGAATTATCTCATTTTTCATGCTGATTAGCTGAAATTTGCCAAGCACCTGTCACTTCTGAGTCTACTGATTCAACTCTTTACTCACCTGAGGTGAGGCTGAATCATCTAGCAATAAGGAAAGAATGCGAATGCCAATTAGAAGGCGTTGAATGAGTACTGATTTTGATTGTCATCTGCATTGGCCAACCAATTGGACAATTACTTTTACTGAGAGCGGGTTGTTTGGTCTCTTAGTCTTCCCCTAAAATCAGTTCCTCTGGATTTGGGTCAGAGCCTCGGGCTCTGGCAAACTGTCAAAAAGAAAACAGCCTGCATTATGGCAATGCGAACGTGTTCTGCAATTGTAATGTAATGCACCAGCAGCAAAAAGACCGAAACAGACAGAGAAAAACACAACTCCAGGCAGTCTGGGAAATACTGGGTGCATAAGCCACAAATGGCAGACAGACAAGAGACTTTTGGTCTGCGATTAGCTAATGTTGTGTGCATACAAATATGGGTAATAGGATTGGATATGGACAATTGTCATTTTGTGGTGTATAATTATAGGAAATGCCAAAAGTGGTTTTGATAAGCTACCCAAAGAATCTTTGAGTTTATATACTCAAAGACAATAACGTTTGTATTTCATCAGAGCAATTTTTATTTCAAATTTAAAGAAAACACTATATTCATGTGAGATAAGTAGGTTCTCTCAAATTCTGTAAAAACAATATCTTCGAAATAAAAAAGGGAATTTTTGTGTGATATTTCAGTAGTCCGATAAAAAAAAACCCAAATATGTTTTTATACAAACATGACTAGATCTCAAGGCATTAACAATTTTTTTATGAGGATTCAGTCTGTGATTTACTCACGTACTTTATTGAATTACCTTCCTAGACTTTAACTTTTTTTCCGTACTCAACCAAATGTCAGACATTTTACCCCTGGATGGCTCCATCTTCTTGGCTCAGCTTGCGGTCGGAACTTTTAAATAATAATAACAAAACAGAAAAAACCGGCTAAAGTAGCGCCTTTGTGCCGCGGCATTTGGCATTTCCAGTCACGTTGGGTCGTCCGGCGACTTAAATTGATGTGCTAAACTGGCAAATTTAAAGCGCTCAAACCTGAACGCTTAATTAAAATATGCGATGTGATACATTCGAGAATCGAAAGCAAAACGCCGTCTGAGTCACGCATTGAATTTGTTTTACAAAGCAATTTGTATAAACAAATCGCAACTGATTCAGCAGAGCGAGCGTCTTTCTTCGAACTTGCCGATAATCAAAATGGAAAACGCAAATGTAAACAAATTCGGTCCAAGACGTCACAGTTTCAGAGCAACTTCCCAATACGATAAAGTCCAGCATTTTACTGGCCAAGCCCTAGTGCTATTAAAGCGTATTTTTATACACTTTACGTCCCCGCCTAACCTTATCATCGCTCACGCAATGTACATATTGCTGTTTTATAGCGTCTTGGGCTTTGGTTTAGTTTCCTGCATGTTTTCCCCTTGTAATACTACGCCATTTTCCGCACGGATGTCTGCTGAATTTCAGAGATATATAGCGGCCATAACTTCCGGGAGGCGATAAACTGCAGAATTATATCGATTATGCATTTTATGGCGCCTTAAGTCTGTCGAAATAAACCATCATGGGGGAGGTCTGTCGTCTGCGTAAATCTAGCTACATCGTCTGTTTACTTGAGGAGATGATAAGCAAAAATCCCTGGGCAAACTTGGATGAAACCAACCACCACGTTTATATATCCACGCATGGCACTTCTCGTAATTATGTACATTTGATTCAATTCCGCATAAAGCTTTTTATTACATACAGTGATTACTTTATAAATAATAATTTACGCTATTCTTTTCTTTAGTAAGTAGCCAATCTAGGTAATGTAGACGTACCAATTTTTGCCAGTGTTGTCGTTATAGTTTTAATTATTATTATAACAAAAGTGAGTTACAATTAGGCTACAAGATCATTATTTTAATAATCCTCCAAATTTGGGACGGCCTGGAAGTTGTGTAGTTATTTATACTCCCACAAACCCAGCTAATTTGGCAGAAAACATAAAATTCAATTAATTGGCAAATATAAATAGCCCGGCAAAAATAGAGCTTTCAAATAGGGAGTGACCACTGTGGGCGCAGGGCTTATTGTTCACCCTTTTTCCGTTAAGGGTTCCTAGTGCTATCGATGGCAATGCTATCGTGGGCTGTTGTCGCTCGGGTTACAGTTTACAATTCGAGTTCATGGACAAAAAAGTAACGTACTCGTACGCACTTTACAATGGGGGAGGAATTGCGTTTCTGTGTGGGCTTTTATTGCGGCTACTGTGGCGAGGAGAACTTTTAATTAAGTTGCCATTGCCACCACCCATTATCACTCGGGCATAACCCCTTAACAGCCCCCTCTGCACTTATGCGAATTATATATTCCAGGGGTTGCTTTCCAGGACAATTGCATGTAAATTCTTGAAGTACTTTCTCTCCGCACAAATGCATTTGCATTCACCGCACTTTGTCTAGGTTCATTGACACGAATCTTGTTATGCACAAAATGCTGTTCGCATGCAGCTCTTTTTGGGTTCGGCAATCTCTACCGTTGGCAAGCTGGTTTTCGGGCAATCGATACCGATGCATTATCTATCCGTACACCCCGCTCATTTCCGGCTTCAGCCTCCACTTGTAATTATTTCCGCGCACATGTGCTCGACCTTTTTGCATCTGGCCAAAAATTGCAACTTGCGAAACGAAGATGTGGAATTGCAGTGAGCAGGCGACGGGCAGTCTGGCATGTCCACAAAACATGCTAAAGAAAAATAAAATAACATACAGTAAACTAGCTGACAAAGGAAAGCCAACGGCAGGCTGACAGTGGACCCCCGCTTCCTTTGCATCGACGCTTCATTGTGCGCATTGTGATTACAATTTGCGTGCTCTGCGGTTGCGGGATGACAGGCACATGTAAGGGCAAGATATTAGCATTTAAGTTTCAAAAATTAATATTAATCATAATAATAAGAAGAGATTCAACAGACAAAACTGGATAACCATAGAAGAATTATTATTTTATTCCTAGCTAAAAAAATGCTTCTGGTAGTGGAAGTATCAAACTTTCAAACGTTATATAAAAACCTCAGTTTCCTAAGATTCAATGAATCAAATAAAAAATATGACAGCCATAAATTATATCAATTTCTTCCCAAACTAAATTCATATCAATTTTCTTGCAAATTTAATAACTAAATCAATTTCAAATTAATTTAATTAAATATTATATGACAGACAAGCGCTTCAACTATCGCTAGCATGCTTATGACATGGCACTGCATTCCTATTAGATTGACCACAAATGTGTTTACATGCGCACAAATGTAGTTGCTACTGATTCAGTGTCGACTGATGTCCACTCAATTGAGGAAATATCAAATTATGTGCGAGCAAGCGACGCATCATCATCACTCATCCAGTCATTGTGTCCCCAACTTGCGGCAATTAGTCACTGCATTTACTCATTGTCCAGTTTATTTGTTTGGCTTACTTCTGTGGCGATAAGAAGTACTCGATGTTGCTGCTACTGCTGCTTCTTGTTTCCTGCAGCAACTAAAAATAATCAGAGAGGCGACCCACGCAATGCATCTTTTCCCGCTTCCCATCGCCTCTGCTTGCTCCAATTTCGAAATGTCAAAATATGGCGAGTTTATTTTAGGAATCTCCCATACACATTTCATGAGCAATTGGGAAAGGATGGGAAAGACCCCCATTAGAAGAAAGAGTCCATGTCAAAGGCAGAATGAGAAAAAAAAGTACAAATAAAGTATTACTAATTTATAAACAAGTAAAAGTCCAATAATGTTGATTATCTTTTTTTTGTTTGCTTCTTTAAGCCAAATAAATACCAATTAGGTGCTAAATTACGCAAATAAGTTATAGTGTTATGAAAAACAGTTATTACGTTTTGAATAATAAATGTTGACAAAAAAAATAGTAGCAGGTGTAATGAATTAGTTTCAAGTCATAGAAAAGAATTCAGCTGGTCAAATAACAGAAAATATCTATAATTAAGTTTACCTAAAGATACATAGTTGCTTAGGTGCCTATTTAAACATGCGGGCTCGATTACTCATACAATTAACCCCTGGCTAAATACCGCAGATCTTTATGACGGCCGTTAAATTCAAACCCCTCAGCCTACCAGTCATGTCTTTTATTTATTGATTTACTATTTTACATACCGCTGTTTGCGCAGGCAATGTGCACAGGTGCATGTTTGGTTTCGAAACAGAAAACAGTCAGGTGAGTGAGACGATCCAGGCGAACAGGCCAACATCGGCCGATATAAACAAGCGATTGTGTATGCAAGACAGCGCTTTTGAACATTTTTCGTTTCGATTCGGCCACAATAGATGAGAGACAAGGTACTCTGTAGTACCTCGCATCGCTATAGTGATGAAACCCGCCCTATGAAGACATGCGGTGTATTTTAAGCGTCTGCAGCAGTCGTTTAACCGTTACCATAAAGTTCAAGAACTTGACGCGTTTCTAACTGCAAAAGCGTTAGAGTTTGCATCAAAATCCGGCTCCCTTTGGCATTAACCCGCTTGAACATCGAGGGCACAAAAACTCCATTCACAATAGAAGCTGCAGTTGCGAGGCATTAGGCCGCTTAATAGAGAAAACCTGTGTTCAATAAAGTAATTGCACCTTGCTAGTTACAACAAAGGGTAAATTGTTAGCAATACTATAAATTAGAAAAATTAATAGTGCCTTTATAGACTGCATTTATAGCCTAATAATTTCAAAATATTTAGAGCTAAAATAAACTAGTGATAGTGATTATAAAATCAAATCATAAAATTTTAGAAACCACATGTTTAGGCATTTCAAAATATATAAACATGTCATGGGCAATTCAAAAAACGTTTAAAACCAACAAAACAGGAGGGGATGTGTTCTGATTAGCCGTTGCTATTATTGTAACCACAGCTGTTTACAAAGTACTAGGCAAAGCACATGCATAGATAAATTTACGATGCAAATTGCGGCAGGCATAAACGGCAACACCAATAACAATGGCCAGCTGACCCCGTTATTTGTTGAACTGTACACGAAAAACCGATAAAGAAAATGAAAATCGCATGCATATATAGCATATAGCATATGGCCCTGCCACAACAACAACAACAACATCGGGCCAACATGCAATGGGGCAGAAAGATGTACGACACCCCCAAAAACCTCGAAGTGTGAAGTTGTTCGATTCATTGGAATGAAAACAATCAATAAAAATTAGGCTAAATGCGGTGGGAGGCTGTGGGAGGTGGGAGTTGTTGCCACAGAGCCACAGCAGGTGTTTTTAATACGTACATGGGAAAATATATTTTAATTTAAATATTGTTTATAAAAAAATTAAGAAAAATACCATTTTCAGGAATTTGTTTGTTTAGTTAGAATAATAGTAAAGAATCTTGTAAACTGTACAAATCATACTTATTATTATGAATACTTCAGGGGTCCATTAAATAATTAAAATTTTAAGTCAAATTCTTATTTTAATTCTACAAAACCTGGGATTATAAATAGTTGCCAAATCTTATTTTCCAATTTTGTTAATCATTAGTGAAATTGTTCTTTATTTGTACGAAAGAATCCAAATGCATCCCACCCACGTGACTACCCCCTGTTGGTGCTAAATTGATGTGATATATGATTTAATAAACACAAGCAGGGGCTTGATTAATTGAATCGAACGGCTGAAGTTGTTGGCGTTTCGGCGTCTATTGTGAGCCACCGGCAATTGAAACGAAAGCCAGACAACAACAACACGATTAATGTGAACGAAAACAACATGAAACCGGCAGGCGAAAAGCTAAGGCGAAAAGCAAAAGTGCCACCAATTGTCACATTGACGCAACTCGAAGCTGAAGAAAAGAGTGCAATTGGAGTTAATTAAAGAGGCGATAGCGTAACACTGGCCACCGTTAATTGCCCATCGTGGATGTTGGCCGAAACGCGTCGTGGTGGTGACACCTAGCCATCATTGCCAGACACGCCTGAGATGATACCATTTTCATTCCATCTCGACTAATTACTTTCACTCTCGTTTTATTTTCCCCCCACGAAGACACGCAATTTGTCGATACGGATTCAATTATTTATGAAACGAAAGCGAAACTTCAATTGCACGGTGTAATCTAATAGATACTATTTACTATTTCGTCATTACGTGGCGGCTTCTAGGCGAACGAGAAATCGAAACTGAAAGTTGCGACTATTGGGTAACAACGACGACGTCGACGAGCTGTTCATCTGTGTGTATCCGTTCGCGGGTAATGGGTATTTATTGTCATATGAGTGGCTGAGAGGTTGCTGCTTCCTTGGCTGCCGTTTGGCGGCGTATTTTTAGCCAGAGCCCCAACTAGTTTAACTAGTTTTCATGATGATGATCATCAGCATCCTTCGGCTAGCTCGCAAGGTCGCTGGTTCGGGAGCCTGTGCAACTAGTTTCCGCAACATGGTTGCTCATCTGCCGCCCGCAGCAACACGCGATTTATCCAGACGACAGCAGCGCGCTTCTTGCGTTTTCTCTTTTAATATATTACACAATTAGATAGTAAATGGGGTTTATTTACATTTCCATCGCGATTTCCTGCCCGCACTTTGGCGGAAGTTTGAACCTTTGACTTGCCGATTTCGGTCGTCGAACTTGCGATAAACAAACTGAAATCGTGAGGGAAATTCTCCAAAACTTTGTCGTAAAGGGAGGATGTCAGTTTTTGCCGCCACATCATTGTAAACAAAATTGTAGATCAACTTAATACATAATAGATGAAAGTATTACATAAATAACATATGAATTAAAAATAAGGAATAGTAAATATTTTCTTGGTTGGTTTTGATGAAAAATACAAACCAAAGTCGAAATAAGTAATAAATAAAAAATAATTATTACGAAAATACAAATTTATAATAACTTTGTTATAATAAACAAAAGAATTAGCATTGGAAATAATATATTTTGTTTGTTTTACAAGTTACTAACGTTAATATCACTATATTATCCGATCACCTTTGCCAAACAATTTAAGACATCTAATTTGGCTTGCAGATTACATGATTTCGTGTAATTTATGGGTCGGCTCCTTGGTGCTATTGTTTCGTCCGTTGCTGTTGTGTGCAAATTTTGCCTGAAATTGGGTTGCTTGCCAACCGCAAGGCCCCCAAAAAACCCCTGCCCCCCTACAATTTTCTCAAACATCGAGCCAAGCGACCTCTGACGCCAGTGCACCCACGTTTGCATTATCGATTGCTAATCCCCGACATTGGCGGCCTCCGGCAGTCTCGTGTCTCGCGGTTGGTCAATGACCGGTTCAATTTCTCGATATTCTCTCACCCTTCTCCGTTGTCGATTCTCTGACTGCTGACTAATTGATTTGCATGTTTTATCTTTCGCTTTTTCCAGGTACGATACGGCTCGCGATGGTTTCTTGGATCTGCAGGAGCTGAAGTTCATGATGGAGAAGCTGGGTGCACCGCAGACCCATTTGGGACTCAAGCAGATGATTGCCGAGGTGGACGAGGATAACGATGGCAAGATCTCGTTCCGGGAGTTCCTGCTGATCTTTAGGAAGGCCCAGGCCGGTGAACTGGATTCAGATTCTGGGCTTAATCAGCTGGCCCGACTCACCGAAATCGATGTGGAGCAGGTGGGCGTGAGCGGAGCCAAGAACTTCTTCGAGGCGAAAATTGAGCAGCAGTTGCGAACGAATAAGTTCCACGATGAGATCCGGGCAGAGCAGGAGGATCGCCGGCGCGAGGAGGAGGAGCGGGCCCAGAGGCGCCAGCAGTTCCAGCAGCGGGCGGCGGTCTTCCAGTAGAGGATTGATTTACTTCCCCGTAGTCTAGCGCGTAATTATCTGGCGTAGGTTAATCGAATGTGGCACTGATCCCGGGAGAAGAGGATACGCTTCGTACAAGCAGAAGGCATTTTTCAAGCATCACATACAGTAATAATATCCATAATAATCGCCCCATACATATACACTCGATTTGTTGGTTAAAACATCATAGGAATTGAATGTTATCTTTGGACAATATAAAGTAAAAAATTAGTAATACCTATAACATAACTTTAACTTATTCATTTATAACGTTTAATTCCTAGTATATATTTTTTATAATCCACCCAAATCGAGCCACTCTAGCCCTCACATAAGCATACATGCGTACATAGATAACGATCATACCAAAAGCGTATTTATAGTTAACCTTTAGTTAAGTGAAAAATATTTTAGTTTAAGACCTATTTTATTGTTTGGTGTTGCGCAAAATATCTTTGTTGAACTACGTTTACCCTTGACGGTTGCCCAAAATTTATGTTTCTTTACCTTATTATGATTTTGTACTTGTAGTGCCATTTTTATTTTCTTCGTTTTAATTTTGTTAATAAAAACGGAAATCAATAGTTACGTTAAGCAAATCAATTCGTGAAATTCAACCTACTTTGTACATAAAAAACCTACGTTGGCAGTCAATCCTAGTTTCAGTTGTACTAAGTTGGAATACACACATATGTGGAATATGCAATTAAGTTTCGATTACAGTATTTCATGTTTAATGTTAGCAATTAAAGCAATACTAATGCGTTAATTACGAATACACAAGAAAATACACGTACTTTTAGAGAGCGTTTAACACAAACTTATACTGCAATTTAAATAAATAAATGTATATAATACAAAATGATTTTAATGCTTTTTAATGTTTATTTTGAGCTTTAAAATGTTTTGAGACCTTGTTCCTGATTAGTCAAGCGCATTTCCAATGTGTTGGTACATCAATTAACTTTATCATCAGAGCTCTTGACATGCCTCAATTTCCTTCACGCTGCGAACTCTTTATCACCTTCGTGGCTATAGTGTGAGACCACCAACTAAGTACCCCATGGAGTGGCTTTATGCTACTGCTGACATGTATAACAAGTCCATGTGTAATAATAGAGCAATTGTTGAGAAGAATTTTTAGTGACGTTATATCTTCATCTTTTGAAACTTGACTTACTTTGAAGGCCATATCTATTGATCAAGCATTTTTGCTGATAGTAATTTCCATTTTACTTTCATGTCCTGGTCTTCTGTTTACTCTCCGGCATTTGGCCCTTTTCGGAGGGAATGTCTGCACCTCAGCATATCGCATTTCAGGGCATAGCGATGCTGGCAGACGGGACACTCGTGCGGCTTGAGCTGCAGGTGGTAGCCCTTAATGTGTTGGGATAGTCCGTTGCGTCGCTTGAAGACTCGCTCGCAGATGCCGCACTTGTGCTGTCGCTCCGTCGAGTGGGTGATGTTATGCTGACGTAGTCCGTTCAGCGATCCAAATGACTTTTTACAAATATTGCACACAAAAATCTGGGCGGGCGTGACTTTCTTTTTGGAATTCAATAACATCTGGTCCTTTGTTTTTGATTTTTTGGGCCTGCAATTGACTTCGTGACGACGATATAGGCGCCAGTGGGCAAAGGCGATGGCCTGGCAGTGGCGGCACTTGAAGCTCTGAATGCGGCGATGGTTTCTAAGCGACATCGATTGACAAATGTACCGCATATGCTGCCGAAGTCCCAAGCGGGACCGAAATAACTTCAGGCAACCACAACAGCGAACGAAAAAGTTGGGTATTAGCTTAACGAAGTGGGCTTCTATACGACGATGGTGGTGTAACTTTCTTAAACTGGAAAATCTTTTCCTGCATATCCGGCAATCGAAAGATTTTCTACGCTTCTTCCTAGAAGTTTTCATTTTCTGGCATTTCAGATGCAATTTCCGATATTTAGCAGCCAGTTTAGCATAGTTTGCAGTCGCTACATCCAGCTGAGGATCGGGAACAGGTGCTGTTAGTTGGGTAGCAGTGGAGATGAGATCCTTATGATGCATGAAACTGCTTTGCATGTCCAGGATATCAATCTTTTTCCTAGGTTGCGTGGATATGGGACTATTCTGCCATCCTGGCTGCCAGTAATCCAATTGTTCGGTTGCCACAAATCCCCTATTGCCCTCCAGTTTCATGGGAGGGTTCAATGGCAAGCTGGACAGGCTAATGTTCATTGGAGGAACACTCACCATAGGTGTAATATTGCTATGGCAATGGGTAAAATGCTGATTTAAACTATCTATAGTTATAAATTTAGCAGAGCACAAGGTGCAGTTGTGCAGCCGAAAGGCAGCCGAGGATTCGACCACACTATCGTTTAGCACTACAATGTTGGGTTTGACTGAAGTGGGAGGAGCCGGTGGTGGCAGCAGTTCGCAGATCAAAGGATTGGGTATCTGGCTCACGTTGGTCACAATGGGTTTGCAGGACCTGGGTTCAGGTGCCGAAAGAGGAGGTATAAGATCCTGAAGCGGTGGCGGATCGGCAAGCGGAGGACCAATATCTGGTGCCGTTTCCGCCCCCTCCACCTTCTCAGTTTTGTACTGATGCGGAGGAAGTTGCCACTCCTCCTTGGCGTAATTGTGCTCCTCGGTCAGGAGCTCATTTTGCAGCATTTCATTGGCCGTTCTTCCGGGTTGCACTCTCTCCGACTGGCCCACATCCGCGTCGTCCGGAATGTTTATAAAGGGATCATCTAGGTTGATGATCTCCATGATATCACAGTTGTTGATAATGTCCTGGGAATTGAGCATGGGAAAATCGCAGAACTGGAACTTTTGCTCCGTTTCCTCTTGATCGCAGCCCTCGTCCTGCTCCAAGCCCATGTCCAGTTCGTCGGGGAACAGATTGTCCAGATTGTCGCAGGCCTCTTGTTTCACACGGACAAGCGGTTCCTGTTTGATCTTCAACTGGCGACGATATTTCCTTTGCAGTTCACTTTGGGCCAGCATCACCACATCGATGAATTGGGAAAAGCGCTCCAGCAGCAGACAGCACTCCTTGCATATATCCTTGGGCAAGGTGTCGTCCTGCAGGATCTGGAGCGTAGGAAAGCATTTCTGGATCATGCCAAAGAGCTCGAAACTCTTGTCGAACGAGGAGCAATTGGTGGCGGAGGAGCCACAAAAGCGACAAGTGGCTTTAACACCTGTTGCCGGTGATTCGGCGGCACTGGCGAGGGTTTGTTTGTGATTTGGCCTGCTGCTGGGGGACACCTGTAGCAAATGGACATGCTGGGGGTTCTCATCCGGAACTCTAACCGAGGGCACAGCACTCTTTTTAAGTGTTTTCCTGTTATTACTGCAATTGAAGTCCTCATCGACAAAGTGACGACTGCACAATGCACTCCATTTGGAAGGCATCCACTGACCACTCCTTTGCGTAAAGTCCTTCCACTTCTGGAGGAGATCTTTCCGTTTAAAGGGGAATCTTGAAGAGAAATGGAGTTGGGGTAAATTCCAGTAGGAAAATTTGTTTTTCTAACCTGTGGAAGGAAATGCTGCCAGCGTGAACATATTTATGGCTGCAATTTATTACGGCGCAGTGGGCCGGCATCTTTGGAGTTTTATTTGACCAGGTAATCAAAATTAATTGTTAAATTCTACTGTTTTGTTTATAAAATGTTTGCCGCGCAGCTGTTATTGTTTTGCTTCTGCCATAGTTAGTGCTGTAAAGTGCTGCAGATGGTTTGTTGAGCTATTTTCAGCTATTTTTAGTGTTGATTAACGACTAATCAGAAAATTGGTCAGCTGGCCACATTAAAGCTTATCAACAAAAAAACAGCTGACACATCTGGTCTACCCCACCACCCACTTTACCATTAATCCGTCACACTTATCAATTAGCGCGTTTATGACTGTCCCCCGACCCCAAAAACGCCCAGATGCTCGTCCCGTGAACATATTTATTTTCTCTCGCCGCACGGAGAACTTCCACGGGCTTCAGTCTGTCGATACGCTCGGAGGCGGTCTGTACGCACAATTTGGCGCAGGAGACGGCAAGGTCAGGCAAGGTCTTTGTTTGGACTGGCGAAAAATCCGAATTGTACTCGTGTGTGAGGGTGGTGAAAGGAGAAAGCAAGAGAAATGTCACAGGTGCGACTGTTGGTACAAGGATTGCGGCGGGGACTGCTCAATGGGGGCGTAGCCACGCCCCACGACTCCGCTGCCCAGGTAGCGACCCAAAAACGAAACAGCTCAACGACCTGCGGGTAAGTCTCATTGGAATCCGATAAGACTCTCTCAATTTCGGGTGTGTTCCGATCTTCAGATGCTTTTAAAGGTTTGCGGATTTAGATACTTTTCATCGTTTGCAGATTGAAATTCATTTCACCGTTTGCAGATACAACTATTATTTACGGTCATAAGATAGCTACTTCATTCGGACATTATTTGTCCTCAATAACACTCAATTAAATGCTTAACCAACTCGTTTATTTTAGAAATAATCGTTTAACAAAATTGGGACAAACTGCATAATCTAAAAACCAACATATAATATTTATAAATTTTCGAAATACTATCAATTGGCTTAAAAGGTTTCTAGGGCAATAAAAGTTTTGTTAGACCACAAACTATAAGAAAAATCCTTTTTCCTTCCTTATCTAAAATAAGATAAGATTTAGAGTCAAAATAAAGTAAAAGATACTAACTATACGACGTATTTTTTATGAGATATCAAAAGCCGAAACCTACTCAATCATGGTGTGTGGTTATTATCGTATTTCTACATTTCTTCCCATCAGAGATTATGATCTGGTTGTGGTTGGTGGTGGTATTGTTGGCGCTGCCTCTGCCCGAGAGATCCTCCTGCGTCATCCTACCCTGAAAGTGGCAATCTTGGAAAAAGAGTCGAAGCTGGCAAAGCACCAGAGTGGACACAACTCCGGAGTCATCCATGCCGGCATTTACTATAAGCCCGGAACCCTGAAAGCCCGCCTTTGTGTGGAGGGCATGCACTTGGCGTACGCCTATTTGGATGAGCACAAGATCCCGTACAAGAAGACCGGCAAACTGATTGTGGCCACGGATGAGAAGGAGGTGAAGCTGCTGGAGGATCTGGAGAAGCGTGGCATTGCCAACAATGTTCCGGACCTGAGGATGATCGAAGGCTGTGAGATCCAGGAGATCGAACCTTATTGCCAGGGGCTAAAGGCTCTCCACAGTCCGCACACCGGAATCGTTGACTGGGGACTGGTTACGCAGCATTATGGCCAGGATTTCAAACGGTCTGGTGGTGACATCTTTCTGGATTTCAATGTCAGCAAGTTCAGCGAGACCAAGGAGGGCACCGATTACCCGGTGACCATTCATGGCGCTACACCCGGACAAACGGTGCGCACCAAGAACGTCCTGACCTGCGGTGGACTGCAATCCGATCTGCTGGCTGAGAAGACAGGGTGCCTCAGAGATCCCCGGATTGTGCCGTTCCGCGGGGAGTACTTGCTGCTGAGCAAGGAGAAGCAGCATATGGTCAAGGGTAATATTTATCCGGTGCCCGATCCACGCTTCCCCTTCCTGGGAGTTCACTTCACGCCGCGAATGGACGGGTCCGTCTGGCTGGGACCAAATGCCGTATTGGCCCTGAAGCGAGAGGGTTACACGTAAGTCTTATTTTGGCATTGGGCATTTTGGCAAGGACTCTACTGACCACTTCGCTGTTTCGCCTCCTTTCAGCTGGGGTGACATTAATCTTTTCGAACTATTCGACGCCCTGCGCTATCCGGGCTTCGTTAAGATGGCCAGCAAATACATCGGCTTTGGGCTGAGCGAGATGTCCAAGTCGTGGTTCATCAATCTGCAAATCAAGGCGCTGCAAAAGTACATCCCGGACGTCACAGAGTACGACATCCAACGCGGCCCCGCAGGAGTGCGGGCCCAGGCCATGGATCTGCAGGGCAACCTGGTGGACGACTTTGTCTTTGATCGTGGCGAGGGATCCGGACCGCTGGCCAAGCGGGTGCTCCACTGCAGAAATGCACCGTCGCCGGGAGCGACCAGCAGTCTGGCCATCGCCAAGATGATAGCCGACAAGATCGAGACAGAGTTCTCCATCGGCAAGTGATAACGAAAATTATAAAAAAAATTCAATCAAAAGACCAAAATTATCCGGAAATCACAATATGCCCAAAATTCTGCCTTTATAGGGTATCAGTAACCACTGATCTGAGTATTTTGCATTTTGTTTTTGTTGTTGCATATTTTGTATTAAAATTAACAATTAAAGAAGTTTTAACTATTTTTAAAGCTAATTTTTAATTCAGTTCGAGGATGTGTCGGTTCTTCCTTTGCGGCGAAACCTCGTCCTTGATGCCCAGCACCTTGATCCGTTTATGTAAAGAGTTCTCCTCTAAGCTAGATTGAATCATTTGTCGACACTTTTCGTTCAATATTTTTAGACCATTTGCTGCATGCTGACGCATTTGAGGGTCACACGACTCCTCCGCTTCGATGGCCCTCAAAAGCCGATAAATGGGAAGAAGCATTTCCTGGTAGTCCAGCAGATTGTCCATGCCATTTAACAGTTCAGCTAAAACCAAGACTGCTGCCCGCTTAGCAGGCACATAGCCTCCCGTAGATAACTCGTTGTTTACCAGTTGAAGAAGCTCCTGGAAGAAGTTCTGAACCTGATAGGCCAAGAGACGACAAAGCTGGGCGAGATTGGCGAACGCTGACATCCGAAATTCGGGAACATGGGAGCGGGATCCATGCATGAAGCAATTAAGAAGTACAGCCTTGTATCGATAGCAAAGAGGACCTAAAAGGAACAAGAATGACAATCTGTGTTTAAACATTTAAAGTAAAGTTGCTACTTACCTAACTCCTGTGCCACTTTCAAGATAGCTTCACCAACAACCAATCGGTAGTCTAACTCAGCTGTATCCGACAGATATTCGTCACTCAGCTTGTCCAGCACTTCAGACTCCATCACATGAACCAACGACACAAAGAGCCGAACGCAATTAAGGAAGGTGTAGGATTCCTTATCCTTAAGAGTGGTCAAAGCCAAAGCTATTATAAGATGACCCTGCGCCATGGTTGCGGGATCCCTTTTCTTAAGCAAATCCATTATCATCTGAATGCCATAAACCTGCAGGTGGGACTGCTTCTCTTCTATCAGGGAGCGAGCTTTTTGAAAGGGTTGTATTTTCACAGCTTCACTTGGGCGCCAAGCCCCTTTGATTAATGTAAGCAGCGATTGTACAGATTGCTGGATGAGAGGATTGGAGGACTGGCCAGCCAACTGCTGCAGTTGCTCCTTCAGTTCTGTACTGCTTTCTGAGAGCCGAATATCCTCACTACCCTCAAGAAGTTCCTGCAAAAGATTTAGAACGAGTAGTAAAATTTGGTCCGTCGTCTCTTGCTCTTCAGATCGGTTCAGTAATAAATCCTTTAATATAAGCAAAAACTCCTTGGTGTGCAGGGCTAGCTGAGCTCTCAATGGTTGGTGGGCCACCATTTGGTTAAGTGCAATAAGCAAATCTAGCTTTAGTTGATACTTGGAGTGCAGAAAGTCCTTGAGTTCTGTTTCAGATGAAATAAAATCTACACGGCTTAAAGGCTTCGTCTCCCTAAGCTGGCTGCCCATAAAACCCAAAAGGGCCAGGAAAACATTGCAGGTAAGGGAATGGTGAGAGCTTGATACAAGCAGTCCAGGCAATATCCTGCCCATATCATGATCTGCTTGGTGATCCTTGTGAGCTACTTTAACCTCAACTTGATTGGAGTTTGCAGAGGGCAGGATAAGAATTCTTGGATGAAGGCACTTCCAAGGAGGTTCCTCTTCAATTTCCCACGCAAACAATCTTTTGAGAATTTCAGGCAACTCCTTTTCCCGATCTCTGTTATCCAAACAACGTGAGATGATTCCAGAAAGTTGCGACGTTGCTGGTAGTTCCAAAGGTAAACTGTCGTAGAGTTGAAGCAGCAGTGGAAGGTAAGGAATTAGTAAATTACTGGGTAAGCAAGCCACGCTGGAGGAGCAGAATAGTTGCTGCCAGAAGAGAATGCAATTGCAGAGTTCCTGGTGATCCATTAAGATGAGGCCACTAATGACATCTTCTGGGTTTGTAAGGGTTTTCCAGTCGTTCGATAATATTTCCTCTATCTGCTTCTGATTTGTTTCATTTAAATCGTAGAGCCTTCGAAGGGTAAGGATGCCGGCACACATTTTGTCCGCATCTTGGAGGTAGAATTTACAATATTCCAGCACTTGGAGAATCATCTTCTGCTGGGCCAGTTGAGAGAATCCTTTTCGAGCCACAATGTTAGCAACTATTTCCGCATTTCTTGTAGGACTAACATTGGGAGTTTGTTGCAGCGCATCCACAAAACTTCCAAATCCTTGGGGTGAGTTTAGTTTTCGCAAGAGTTGATGGTGCAACAATTTTGCCAAAGGAGTGCAGAGGGGAGTTGCTTTCAAGAGCAATATGTGGCGAAAGAAATCTGACTTGGATTCCTGTTGCCACAGGTAGGAAATGGCCTTATCCAGATGCTCAGAATCCTCCTGAACGCGTAGACTCATAATGGCCGCCAGGAGATCCCTTTGCACCAACTCCATGGAGTTTGCTATGTGAAACTGCCGAATGGGTAGTAGATTTACAAAGAATTGAATGCTGAGGAGAAGCAGGGATGGATTTGCCTTGACTTTGCCTTGCGCCTCATGGAATATAGGCGACTTGTAGAAATCCTCATGAAGCTGACATCGAAGTGAGTAGTAAGACAATTCCTGGGTAGCCTGGATGCAAAGTTTGAGGTGTGCCACTGATATAAGGTCCTCCTTTGCGTCGCTATGAAAATTAATATTCTTGGTGATCGAATAAAGCACATGTTGCAGTCTCACTATATAGGATATAGTCGGTTCTATCCCTGGATCTATAGTAGATTTCTGCTCCGCTGTTAACTGATATTCCACGCATAATTCTTGCAATTGCTGATCCACCTCAAGATTGGCATATTTTTGTAATATAAGCAGGTTGCTGGCCAATGCATCTGGAGTTTCGAAGTTATTTGCGTTATTTGCCTTATTTGCTGCAATGATAGCATAACTAAAGTGGCAGAAGGTATTAAAATAATTCTACCCAATTACCTAGAGCCTTATTGAACTTTAAATTCTCCAAAAGCGCAAAGTATTTAGCCGTATTTATCATTGTTATCACAGTAAATTACAAATTTGCAAAATTCGCGACCATTTCTGCTAGAGATGAGTGTTTACATGGATGCAATTGCAATCGATAACAAAGACGCAGAACGCCGATAAAGTGTTGGCAATATAACATTTGAAGGATAGGTTTTTATTTTTTGCCAACTTTGCATTATTTTTATATTTATGAAATAATGACGTTTTATTAATATTTAGTTGAAAATTATTTAGCTTTTATCCATTTTTATACGATATTAAACGTATGGCTACTTCAGTCCCCGCAATTTAGCTACTTTTTGCCAATCGATAGTTGGCTGCACTGCCCGCGGATTGCGCATCTGACTGCACCACACCGCTCTGGTCACACTGGCCCCACGAACAACTTAACAAGAGCAGCAGGAAAATCGAACAACTTTCTTTTTCCCCTGCAGTGTGTGTGTGCATGCAAAAATACAAAGTGCGCAAAATAGCTTAAATCAGCTAACCGATTCGACTCGAACGTGGATTAATTGTCCAGCGGCACCGACGCCCCGTCCACCGCCAGTCGCCCACGCAAAAAATATTGCCAAAAACACCTACGCGCAGGCAATTAAGACCGTGTGATTGATTGTGTGTGCGTGTGCCCGCGAGTGTGTGTGTGTGTGCGTGTGTAGAGCTGCTGGGCAGTAAACATTTTCTGGTGAAAATCGGGGGAAAATGAAGAAAATCCTGTCCAAGTTCGAGCGCAATGAGAACTCGCGATTGGAGAACCCGCCCAACAGCAGCAGCTCGTCATCATCGAACGAGAAGAACAGCTTTGTGGGCAAGGTCTTCACAGTGGGACGCGTCACGGTCACCGTGGAGGATGTCCTGGCCGAAGGTACACCATTCACACTCCCATCCATTTCCCCTATCTCCCATCACGTAGCACAGCGATTATGCTTATCACCTGCCTGATTTACAGGTGGGCAGTAGCCTACATGCCCTCTTTTGGTTCTCCCTTCGCCAGATTAGATAAAAAAAACCCGGGTATTCACCAACGGGGGGCGTACACAAACCGTTGAATAGCATAAAAATCAGCTGCGTATCCCCTTAACTGGGGGCGCCACTTGTCGCATTTCCGATTAAACAAACGGTCGAAATTAACTAACTAGAACGCCCCCAAATATCTGTACTTCCAAGCAGGGTTCGCTACAGCCTTTGTATTCTTTCATAAATCTTACTAAAATCAATATATAATTCCAAACTAGTAGCAAATATTAACTAATTATTAAAATTCGTATTTAATAGCTACTATTTAGACTCAATTTCTTACTTAATAAGACTTCACCCAGTCAATAAATATTTGTTTTAAATGACTAGTATTTTCTATTTATAGGTTTTTAGTTAAATACCTCTAGATACTGTTATTATAAACTAGCTTAAATCTTCATAATTTGACCCTCAAGCTTTCACAACTTCCAAGTAATTCCATTGCCGTTTTACCCTTGACATAGAATTACAGCCATAACTCGAGTTCGAAATGGGGGAATGAAGTTGTAGTGTGTAATAATGTCCAATTAAATGGTTTTGTGACTTAGCCAAAATGCCGATAGCTTAAAATATTCCATGATACTAATATTTGTACAAACTATAGAAGCCCGACTGTACAAACAGAGTCACAGTTCTGGTTGGTTTTTCCATACAATACCCATAGAATTCCCGTAGCCACTACACATGGCCACAAATCAATTGAATCAATTATGCTAATTTAGCCAATGAAGCGGCATGAGCAACACCCAACCTCCTTCATCTGCCCACTGTCTCCCAGTTTTTTCGTTTTGCACCTTTTGCCAAGCTAAAATGGCAAAGTTCGCCCCTAAGGAGCAAATCGGCCGGGCTTTGTCCTTGTCCTTGAAATGTGGAGTGCCGCGTATCCTGCAGTGCAAGTGCCTTCTCCTCCTGCTCAAATACCCGCCATCTAACATTTGATCATCTAGCAATTGCTCACACAATGCCTTCCATTCCATTTGCTACCTTTCCTCTTGGCATTACGTAGTTTTTTCTTTACTTTTTATACTCGTACTTTTGGCAAGCGGACTCGATTCGTAATGTTGTTTTGCTGCGCTGGCGCCGCTGT